GCTCACCGGCATCCCCCCACCCCTGACACCCCACCCCTGCACACCAACTGCAGGATTCCCTTAGAAAAAACCAAGTCAAGAGCATTGATCCCATGCAGTACTGATTGTTTTCACAATAGAAATAGCTTGCTTTTCTGCTCTGATACTCATTACACATTCTCTGATTTAAAAAATCCAAAAAGTGTTCAGTTCAGTTCAGTCACTCAGTTGTGTCCAACTCTTTGTGACCCCATGAATCACAGCATGCCAGGCCTCCCTGTCCATCACCAACTCCCTGGTGTCATCTGCATATCTGAGGTTATTGATATTTCTCCCGGCAATCTTGATTCCAGCTTGTGCTTCTTCCAGTCCAGCGTTTCTCATGATGTACTCTGCATAGAAGTTAAATAAGCAGGGTGACAATATACAGCCTTGATATACTCCTTTTCCTATTTGGAACCAGTCTGTTCTATGTCCAGTTCTAACTGTTGCTTAAAGTGTAACCTCCCCCAGAAAAAAATCAAAAGAAGAAAATTTTAAAGCACCACCCATAGAAGATAATTATTAACAATATTCTGGCATATGCATTTGTGAGTATGGGTATGGTGATGCAAAAATGAGATTGAACTATATGTATGGAATTATATTTTTTTTTATTTATTTTGGCTGTGATGGGTCTTTGTTGCAGCGTGTGAACTTCTCTAGTTGTGGTGCATGGACTCAGTGGTTGGGGCGTATGGACTTAGTTGCCTCACAGCATATGGGATCTTAGTTCCCCCAACAGGTATTGAATGTTTGTCCCCTGCACTAGAAGGCAGATTCTTAATCACTGGGCCACCAGGGATGTCCCCTGTAATCTGCTTTTTTCATTGAAAAAATATGTACGTCTTTCCATATTAAAAAATTAGAATAAAACTGTCATGTAGTCAATAAATCTTAAGCATGACTGTCACAGCCCCCTGTTAAATTCCTTTCAAGCACAAAATTTTCTTATTTATTTATAATAAATAAAAATGGATAATTTCTAGTTTATTATTTGATCATTCTCTTATTTATATATCTATCTGTTTTTTCTCTTACTCTTGAAAATACTGGCTCTGTGAGGGCACAGATGTTGTCTGTTATTTTTACTAATGTACCCTTGACAGCAGGCACACCTTCTGGCATAGAAAGGAGGTATATTAGTTTTCTATGCTGCATAAGAAATCACCACAAACTTAGTGGCTTAAAACAGTACCCATTTATTATCTCAAAGTTCTATAAGTCAGATGACCATTCATGCTCCACTGAATTCTATTCTTAGACTTATAATGCCAAAGTCAAGATTTTGGCTAGATTTAACCTGGCTAGATTTAACCTGGAGGGTCTGGGGAAGTACCCACATCTGAGCTCATTTAGGTTGTGGCAGAAATTAATTCCTTGTGGTTGTAGGACTGAGGTTCCTATTTCCTTGTTTGCTATTAGCTGCTGGCTTCTCTTGGATCTGGCAGGACACTACCAGGTCCTTGCCCTGTGGTCCCCTCTGTCTCAGCACAGCAGTTCCCTCTTATGTTCCAAATTTCCCTGAGTTTCTTCTCCTACCAGCAAGAGGAAAGTCTCTGCTATTAAAGGGCTCCCATGATTAAATTAGGCCCACTCATTTTCTCAAGTCAAATGATTAGTAATCTTAATTATATCTATAAAGTTGTAATCATGGTGTGAGATATTCATAGTCCCAGTGCCAGGGATTGCAGCAGGAAATCTTTGGGGGTTGAGGGAACTTTAGGATTCTGCCTGTTCCAAGTGCCCTCTAATACCTATGGAAAGGGTGAGTGAATCAACTTGTTCATTGAATGCACATGGCATAGAGGATGCTAAGTGAACAAGACTGTCCTGACCCTGCTCTCATAGAGCTTGCAGCCTCGACCAATGTTATTCAGTAGAAATATATCGCAAGCCACATTTGTAGTTTTGAGTTTTCTAGTAGCCACATTGAAAAGAGTAATAAGATACAGATGAAATTAACTCTAAAAATATATTTAATTTTATCCAATATATCCAAAGTATCACCGGCGCACAGTTTACACTTACGGCACATCTCAAGTTGGACTAGCCCCACTTCAAGTGCTGAGTAGACACACGTGTTCAGTGGCTGCCATATTGGACAGTGAAAGTCTAGGGACGTCACAGAAGGAGGGCAGTGCAGTGTGTGTGAGACTTCCTGCGCACCATCCCACACTCAGGAGGGTCAGGAAAGACCTCCAGGGAAGAAGTGAAATCTAAACTGAGACTGAAGAATAAGTAGGAATCAGTCAGGTCAAGGGTTCATGTGAATGCATGTCAGAAAGACAAGTCTGTACAATGAGGAGGAAAGAAAGCTTTAGGACTGCAGAAGCCAGTTCAGCTTAGGGGGAACTTGAAGCGTGGAGCCGGAGAGAGAGGCCAGCAAGCCAGGAGTCCATCCTCCACCCTGACAGCAATGGGATTGTAAATGAAGGCTGTAACAGGGAGTGCAAGATGAAGTAGATGTTGTTGTTGAAATAGCACTGTTGCCTGTGTGGTGAGTGCAGAGTGGGTCCTGAAGGAGAGGTGTGTGTGGAGTGGGGGGTGGGGGGGTGTTGGGGCCGCTGCGACCATCTGGGACAGGGAGGTCAGGCCAAAGATTATCTCACTGTGGGTGGCTACCCAGATTGCCTCCTTGGTAGAAGCCAGGACTCCTTTTTAAAAAATTTTTAAATGTATATGCTTCTTTGCGCCTCAGTGAAGGTTCATTTGCCTTTGCAGCTCCTGGCAGTGTCATCTGAGATTTCTTTTTTCCCTCAAATCCATTTAGGCCTCCTGGCAAATGGATTGTCTGATGGAAGCAGCGGCGACACTTTTTGAGAGTTCCCTTTCCCACAGCATAAAGCTTACCCTGAAACAGTGCGTTGCAGTCTCGAGGCACTGTATTCTGCCTTGTGACCTGTTACCCAGCTGGAAATCTTTGTCTCGACTGAATAAATGATTGTTCTTTGCTACTTTATCTTGGAAAAACATCAAGGACATGGGACATTCGCCGTAATTGTTTTTCACTCATTTCCCCGATCTGTAAAATATGACCGGAGCATTTTAGTACTACTTTGGGTTTCTCTTTACCTTTTAATCATGTGGCCTTTTAATATATTGGTCATCTCCTTAAAAGGATGATTAAGAAATGCTTAATGCACAAAAGAATTAGAGCTATGCACAGCTCATGAAGCAGAAAGCGTGCTCTGACTTAGAATTTTCATACGAAGTTCACCGAGATTTTATGTGCCAGAATGAGTAATATGATCCGCTCTAGGAACTCCCTAGCTCTCTGGCTCTGCAAAAGTCATTTTTTTGCCCCCGATTCAAGTTTCTTAACCAGAAGGGTTACACCAAACTCCTCAGAGTATGAATTAGCCGAGTTCATCCAAGCCACATATTTCATTTGCACTACTTAACGAGGGTTCGAAATAACTGCCTACCTGTGCAGATGCTGGGATCTTTGGTTGGCTCATTAGTCAGTGTGACTTGAGAAATGCTGTGTGTCAGCCACCAAATCAGACAGCTCAGGCTGTATATAAAAATTGGCTCACATGTGTATGAGTTGTGTGTGTGTGTGTGTCTGTGTTTGATCTTTCCCTTCCCCGCCTTATTCCCCAGATAGCTGCACTATTGCCATGTGCCCAGAAACTCCTAGAATATTCCAAGGCAATATGTGAATTATAACCATGCAGGCACACAACGTCCAGCATCAGTAGGGAAGAAAGTCATCATCTGAGGGTTCAGTGTGGGATGGTCCTCTCTTCTTACCTGTTGTACTGTTTCTTCGCAGGCGGCAGTTGTATGCCACACCCCGGGACCCTTAATGGGGGCCATGAGAAAACTTGAGATGCTTCCGGATACCTCTTCCCCAGGGCCTGAAATATGCACACAGCTGACTGTTGCACTTATGTTTAGGGCTAAACATATACACACAAGCCACAGGATGGTGGCGATGATAGCCAACTTCATTTCACTCTGCTGTGTTTAAGGAGATACCAATATTCTTTTTTAAGTTATGCTTTTATTGTGGTAAGATACACGCTAAAAATTACCACTGTAACCAGTTTAAGTGTACAGTTCAGTAGCATTTAATACATCCATGGCATAATTCAACCAACACCACTATCCATTTCCAGAATTTATTACCACAAACTGAAATTCTGTGCCCATTCAAAGATAACTCTCCATTCCCCTCTCCCCTAAGCCCCTGTAACCTCTTATTTTGTGCATCTTTGAATTTGTTTATTCTAGATATTCCATGTAAGTGGAATTGTACCGTATTTGTCCTTTAGTGAATGGTTTATTTCACTTACCATGATGTCTTCAGGGTTTATCCATATTGGAGCATGAATCAGAACTTCATTTGTTTTGAGGGTTGAGTAACATTCTGTGGTGCATATATACTACCTTTTGGTTATTTTCAGTAAGGCTTCTGTGAGCATTTGTGTGCAAGCAGTCTGTTTAAGTCATTCTTCCAGGTATATACCTTGGAATGAAATTTTCTGTGTTCTTTTAAATTGTTTCTCTTAGAAGGTCTGTAAGTGAATGCTAAGTTTTCTGGTGTGTCGGCCATCTTTAATTCTCTAATATCTAAAAAGTCAAGTTTAAAAATTGTTTAAAAACTATACTCATGGTAGAAAACCACGGAAAGGAAAAAATGTTGACACATGACCTGGTCAAATAGAAATAATCTCTGTAACATTTGGGCTTATTTCCATTCCCTTTCTTCTTGCTTATCAAGAGGCATCTCTAACTCTAGGTGAACGATTTTTAAGAAGGCATCTTCTTCAGATGTGTTTGCAGGACATCATTTAACTTCCTGTTCACCTCCTCACTCTATTCTTCCTCTGCATCGCCACCCTCCCTGATCCCCATTAGCCCTGATTAAAGAGAGGGGTGGCGGGTGGGCACACGGGTGGGGATGTTTGCCCGCAGTACCTCCAGCCTCACTACCAGTCCCTCTCCCAGCTAAACTCTGTGCTTTCTTGTTGCAGCTATCAGAAGGGCTGACTAAAGGGCACGCGCAGCTCCGCAGCAATATTCTGATAATCTATTGCAGTGCAGCTCACATCACTGTTCACCACCACCTGGAACGCTCATGGAGACTGAAGAGGAGCTTTCACTTCCATTACTGAGCACGGCTCTGTTCGACTCAGTGTCTCCTTCATCATCTCATGTCCTTTCCCATGGATTCAGACACGTTGGAGAGGAGAAGGTGGAGGAGGAGGAGACAATGGCAGGTCCTCCATTTTTTGGTCGGGATTCGGGCATTTAAAATGTGTTCATCTCTTCTGAATGTCATTATTTGATAACATTTTACTTCTGTTACTTAAACATCACTGGATGAATCTGAACTCCATGGGATCATAACTGTGGATTCAGCTTCTGTTGGACAACTAGCTTCATCTCCCGTCTCTCTGCTGGTTCAGTCTAAGTGGTCATCTCTAATGCATTAGATTATCAAAAAGTGTGAATTCTGTGATTGAGTGAGTGGTGCTGGCAGTGTTTGTATACCGAGATGCATGGAGTGTTTGAAAGAGAAACCAAAGCACCAAAAATGGTGAGCCTTTACCCTCCTCTATTTCTTTAATCTGCGGTTTGAAGAACCACATTTTGGTGGTGGAACCAGTCGTTACCTCTGGGCCAGGTTGGAAATGAAATCAATTTTTTAAACCACTAATACTTGCCAAGAAATCGCCTTATGAGAACATGGTGTGTGTCTCTGACAATGCATGGCACATCTAAATTGATCATTCATAGTTCTATGGACCCTGTGTTTGTACTAGGGAGTGACTGGAGCCTGAGGCACCTGCATATTTCTATCCCATGTGTGTTACGTATCACCCACAGTGGGGTCACAGCCGAGCCTCAGACTCTCGCCATTCCCGTACATGCAGGTCTCCACGAAGAAGCTGGGACTCATTCATACTCAAGATCCAAACGCTGTCCAAACAGCGAGTGTACGCTTAGATCTTCTGCAAATGAAAGGTCATTTGTCATTTTTTTTTAAAAGTCTCCAACATGGATTCCAAAACATTTTCAGCATCAAACATGAAAACATTGATGAATGAGGAATAATCACAAAAGCTATGTATCTGTATATAGCGCTACACAACATGTTTGTGGTACAGAGTCATTATTTAAAGCACATGCCAGGGAGAGAGACCACATTTTCAGGTCTTTTACATACAGTGACATGGTCCTGAGGAGAATTAAACTCCTCCTGCTTCCTCTGAGGTTAAAAAAAAAAAGAAATAAAGTTGTTGTAACTTCATAAAACTCGTTACCGAGTCTGGAAAACATGTGCAACTCTTGTATTGATCCATTTCCTTGTCAATGAAAGAAACCCTTCCACGTGTATGAAAGTGGGGGATGAAAATCTGCATTTCTAAAGGACAAACAGTGAATTTAAGCATGAGTGGCCTTAATAAATATAGTTGTCTTTTTTTGCTGCTGTGGAAAGGATTCTAAGGAGATGTTCCTGAAGTCTTGCATTGAATTTAGTTATTATTACTTCTTAAAATGTTGGTGCAATTAACTCTGGACCTCTCTTGTGAGCCATAGAGATATTTAAAAGTCAGACACCTTATTTATCTATCTGAGAAGACAAAGCTGTGTCTGGGTTGAGCTGTTCATCCTTGGTGCATTAAGAGTAGTATATTCGAGCAGGTTTCTCGCTTCTGGCTTTGTTCTTGTCCTAAGTATTGCGCATTGTGTAAAACTTTCATGTTGCACAAGCAATCCAAATACATTCATGTTTAATAAGTTTGTCCTTTAACTATCAAGGCAATCTAGGTCTTGACTTGAGAAACAGCAGAGTTCTTTGCAAAAGTTATTTCACACATTTTGACATAATGCCGCCCTGAAAACCCAGGCCTCCTCCAACTCATGGCTGTGAACAGTTTGAGCATCCTTAAACAGGCAGCCTCACTGTCTCCTACAGCCAGATCCTGATCTGAACTCTGCCACTGAATACTTGAAGTGGGAAAGCCACTAGGCAGTGAGTGTCCTAGAAGCAGAGAAAGCAACCGACCATGAATAGTTAGCAATTTCCCAGTATGTGCCAATTCTGTCCCAGCTGTTGTTTCGAGGGCTCATTTTTGCCCCACTTTTGTTTGCCTAAAGTATTACTGATGTTCCTTTTGTGGGACAATTATCATTTAGTTCCTTAAAAATTAAATTATGTCTAACATAGCATCTTTCCATTATGTATCATGTAATATTCCCTGATGTTGAGGGGCTACCAAAAAATTCCCTTTTCACATATTAAAAATAGTTTGTGTTTACAGCAAACAACTGTGCTGTTGGGAAGACATTTCCTTTGCACAGACTTTAGCAGGTTTCCCCCTTGATCATAATCAAGTTGAGAAAGTTGAGGCTGACATTTAGGAGAAGTTGGTCTTCTTGCTTTGTGCAAAAGCAAGCTTGTACTTTATACCCTGTTTGATTTCAATGTACAGTCTCTATTTTGTATTTAATGATTTTTGTGTATCCAGTATGCACGTTAACAGCGTGTCAACTTTCATTTAAAAGTGGGTTTCCATTTACTTTTTAAACAGTGTTCATGACGAGACCTCAAATGTGTTGACATAAGCTCTATCTGAGATGTTTTTGTGTTGAGTGGCGTTTGAATGCTGCCAGGGGTCAGTGTATCTAATTCCCAGAGACCCTCGTTTGATAGTGCTTCTTGTAATATTTCTCCAAGTGAGTGGCATGTGGGTTGTGATATTGACCATGTGATTATGGACTTCGATATGAAAAAAAAATAAATAAATAAAACTAAGGAACCCTCAGAAACTATCAGTGGGCATGTAGTAGCCAGTCATTGTAACCTCGTGTCTAGTAGAAGTACAACGTACAAGGTATGTACAGTTCACACATTTGTTATCACGTGTATGAGAAGTGCTTTGTGCTGATCGCCTTATTTATATTCATCAAATAAACTTTGTTTCTTTCTGAAGCGGGTTCATTCCATCTCGAATAAATGCTCCAACTGTGATGGTTTCTAGTCTTGTTTGGGTCATGGATCCCCATCTGAAGAAGCTATGGCTGCGAAGACAAGAGAAAGAAAAAGGGAGGCTATGGACTCATTTTACCAGAAGAGCCAAGATGTAAATTTCCCTCTGTGCATAGCTGGAGCTCCGGGCTTATAGTGTGTTAAGAACTCAAGTTATTGGTGGCATCTCCCTTCCTCCTTCCCTTCCCTTTTGGTCTTTCTCTGTCTCTCAGTTCCTCCCTTTTTCTCCATCTTTTTATCCCTCCCTCGCTTCCTCCTTCCTACCTTTTCTTGCTTCCCTTTTTTCCCTCTTTCCTCTTTTCTGTTGTGTTTCTTCTGCACTTTCCATGAAGTTGACATCAGTCCTGCCAGGTTCTCTCCACTTGGTGGTAAAGGTGACTCCCGACAGCTTTGAGTGTTCTTGGGTTTTTTAGAAGAGACAGCCCTCTCTCCCAGCAGCCACATCAGGCCTCTAGAGGGACTCTTACTAGTCCTCTTGGGATCATACATCCAGCCTCACTGGATGTGGGAGATGTAGTTTCAAAGGAAAAAAACAGCTCTAGTCTAGAAGAGAGACAAGCTGAGCAGGTGAAAACGGTAGCCCTGCTATCACTTGGGTACACACACAGAATCATGCAGAAAAACAGAACTGTCCATACAAGGGCTCCCCGGCCTTTGTAGCTCACCTGTGGATCTCAGTGGAGGACCAGCTCCTGGTTTCTTTTTAAATTTGAGTTTCAGGAAACAAATGATCAACTCTTGCCATTATTGCAATTAAATAGTAATTGATTATTAGCGCTAGACAGTCTATGTCATGTGACCAAATGCCTTCATTTTACAGATGGAGAAACTGAGGCCCAGTCGGAAGTAGCTGATCCAGGCATACGTGGTAAGTTCACTGCAATCCCAGACTGTCCCTGGAGGTTCTGGGACAGGAGTATATGTCCCTGAAGACCCTCTGCAGAGGAGAGGAGAGACAGAGCCTCATCCCAGTTGACCCTAGAAGACACAGAGAAAATAGCATTTTTTTTCTGTACTTCATGGATTCAATGCTACCAGGTATGAAATTTTCTCACAGTCAGGGACATTTGGGGGCAACCTGCAAAGTCACATGTCCTTTTCTTTATGGTGCCTTTTTATGGAAAAATAACTTTTGTTAGGCAAGAATTTCTTACCTCATAGAACTCCCTGAAGCACCCGGCTTGCTTTCAGGCCTGATTATATGAGGCCAGCTGGCCATCAGACATAATCTCTACTCCATCATGCACAAACTGGTCTGTTTGGAGGAAAAGTACCAGCTCAGACTTTGCGGGTCCACCTGTCCTTCAGTTCTATCGAAGCATGTAGATAAGCAAAAGGTTTTGTTTTGTTTTGTTTTGTTTAATCTCAAAAATTCACCTTGAAAAAGATTGGAGAGACTTTCTAAGTCTTGGGGTTGCTAGTCCATAATAATAATAATCACACTAATAAGTAAACAAATAAAAATAATTGAACTTGATTGTGTACTTGCTAGGAGCCAGGCCATGTCACTAAGGACTCACGTGCACCCACTCCTTTATTCCTGACAACAGTTCCATGAGATTGGTGCTATCACGACCCATGTTTCACAGTGAGGGGAATGGAGGCCCACAGAGATGACCAGAGACAGTGCATGTTTATAGAGCACTTACTTGGTACCAGTACTCTGCTAAATGCTGTGCTTACATGAATTCATTTACCCTGACAGTAATCCCTTGAGGTAGGTATTATCCTCATATATTCTGGTATTATTACTCTCCTCACCATACAGACAAGGAGAAAGCGGCCCAGAAACCTTCCACACCTCACCCAGCGTCTCCTGGATGGTACATGGATCATGGAGACAGGCTTTTCATCCAGTGCTCAGGAAGCTCTCTGCTTCGGGCCCCAGGTTAGGTAAGTGAGGGGTGTATGGGACTGGGGTTCAGATTCTACTGGTACCCACCCAGCAGGTCTTCCGTGTCGCAAGCTTGGTCTCCAGCTCACAGAGGCCTGAGGGAGTTGGTTGCTTCATCAATGCCCCCGCTGCTCCTCGTGAGGAGAGAATGGCAGTGGGGCCCAAAGGAAGTCAGGCCACATGTGAGAGGAGAGTGGGGATGAGCTTAGCACACTGGATTTTAACCTGCAAGTCCTGGGCTTCTCCTGTGTGTCCTAAGCCCTCAGTGTCCAGGCATCGGCACCTGCCCTCCTTGGGTGTGCAAGGGGGAGCGTCCTGTGACAGGCCACTGGACAGGTGTCCCCAGGTAGGCGAGGACCTCAGCGCCAGGATAAAGGGTGTAGGTCTAATTGTGGGGGCCACTGGTTCTCAACTCCAGTAATTGACCTCCTGCTTGCCTGGTTCTTACAATGTCAGAAGACAATATGTAGCCTGAGTTAAGTACCTTATACAATTAAAAGGCTTACTGTTTTATTTACATAAATTTACTTTAAGGATAAATGCCTCCATCATAAATGAGAAAGTAGGGTAATTTTCCATATATAGCCATCACCAACTGTAAGGGCAAAAAAAGGAATGAAGACAAAGCTCTGAGGCTGAAGCTTTCCCTTTCTGTGGTGAAAAGGGAAACTGGCAAAGGTTAGAGGTGGGTTTGTGGGGCTAACAGAGTGTGTTTGTCTGTTACTGAATGGGAAGGGCTGAAGATGGTCAGGAAAGGAATATGTAACTCTGTGGCTGAAGGGTGTTTCAGACTGTGCCTGTGGACCGCCCTGTCATCATTTCAAGGACCCACTTTGATCTCCAAATTTTAGGAAAATTGCAGCAACAAAAATGCAGAGATGAGTTTTCAGATAAACTTTATTTTTATAAAGGCTTTATTTTTAGAACCTTCTTAGATTTACAGACAAATCGAGCAGATAGTCCAGCGAGTTCCCATATAAACTTCTTTCCCACAAGGATACAGTTTCTTCTGTTATTAAGATCTTACATTCACATGGTATACTGTCACCAATGGAACAGACACAAATACACTGTTATTAACAGAAGGCTATTCTTCATGTAGACTTCCTTAGTTTTAACCTAAGGTCCCTTCTCTGTTCCAGGCACTCCTCCAGAGTCTATATTGCATTAAGATGTCACATCCCCATGAGTTAGTTACACTTTTTGTTTTTGGTGATCTTGACAGCTTTGAAGAGTACGGGTCAGTATATTGTAGGTTGCCCCTCTCCTGGGATGTGTGTGATCTCCCTCTCATGGTTAGACAGGGGTATGGGTTATGGGCAGGAGACCACAGAGGTAAAATGACACTTTCATTACATATCAAGGGTACATAGTGTCAACCATGGTTTTTGGCTGTTTGCTGTTGACCTTCATCCATCACCTGACTGAGGTAGTGTTTCTTGGGCGGCTCCATTGTAGTTACTCCTTCCTCCCACTTTATGATAGATTGTTGCAGTACAGAGATAAAGGATCAAATCTCTCAGACAGAACTTTCTGCTGGAAGCCTAGAGGACACACTGGCTAGAGAAGAAAAATACTCTTCAAGTCTTTTGGATTAAAATTGTCTAAGTCACCAGTCCATTGATTTGATCTGTTTTTTTGGACCAGTCAGTTTTCTCTTCTATTAGAGATGCCTTTGTCACCTCTAACCTTACCTTCCCCTGTTGAGTTACTTCAGCATCTATGGCAGGAGTGAGTCTTGTGGGTGGAACAGACCATTTCCCTGGTGCAGAGCAAAGCCAGCATTTCTGTAGGTTAAAAACAGATGCTGACTGTGCCAGCACTATGGCTTCACTTAGAAAGGACTCAGAAAAGAAACTTCGCATAAATTCAAGACAGAACCTCTGTGTCTGCATAACTCACTGGATAAGGGTGATATGGCTGTTTGAGAAGTGAAACATGAGTGCTTATCTGAATAAGTTTAATTGTTGGATTGTTTTATTCTTTTGCAAGTACCTATCCCCCCACCAAAGAATTCCTTCAAAAGTCTTTGAAGAACAAAAACATAACAGAAGACAACTTGAGCAAAAATAAGTATATCATGCACATACACATGCACGGCTTCATGCAGTGAACAGTTCACGTGTAGTGAGTTTCAGGAGTGGCTTGTTCCAGGGGCTCAGATGACTTCTTAATGTCCTTTTCTTGGTTTTGCTCCCTTCCTGGTAATCCATTCTTGAGCAGCCTCAAGGTTTCAGGTGAGACCCTAGACCCCACTCCTTTCCCTAAGGGAGGAGTCATGTACTCTTCCCTGCTAGGTGTGGAGCCCACCTCAATCTTGTGGACTGAGACAGGGGAAGGGATGGACTCCCAAATAAGAAAGGAAAATGGATGCTTAGGAGGCAACTCAAAGGCACAGCAATACGATGTAGTCACAGTAAAACATCGAGGCTGGTTTATCTTACCTTTAACTAGAGCCTTGACCCAGAAGGGAGCAACAGGATTTGTGTTCTGGTAGAAACAACATTAGGCTGGGAATCAAGACACAAATAAAATCTCTTATTTTATAGCCATTTTGTTACAGCTGCTCAATGGTAGCATGCCATCGCATGTACTCTTCATTTATGAATCTAACCAGTAGAAATAACGTATCTCTTAACTACCTGATATAGTATACAAGAAAATAAAATAAGACAGTAAATGAGAAAATGTTTAGAAAAAATATTTTGGCAACAGACCTCTGTCCACAATTCTAACAAAGTCCTCAAATGACTTGTTTCACTTCTGAGAACCAGTTTGCACAGAAGGTAGTCTTCCTCCTCGGTGGCCCATCTATACAGTATTCAGGCGATTATATCAAGCAATAGATTTTAGGATAAAAGTTGTTGAGAAAGAATTACTGCTATTTGCACAACACAGATGAATCTCCCACAGCATCAGGTGGAAGCAGATGAACACAAGAGAATACACTGTGAGATTCCATTTACACAAGGCTCAGAAGCACCCGCATTTCATCTGTGGGGTTAGAAATCAGGGTGATGTTTAACCTTTGGAGGGTTTGTAAGCAGTAAGGGCACAAGAGAAGGTTCATGGGATGCTGGCCATACTGATTTTGACCTGTAAGTTGGTTACATGGTTATCTTCCATTTATGAAGATTCATCAAGTGACATAATTTCTGTACTCTTCTGTCTGTATGTTGTTGTCACTCAGTTGTGTCCAACTCTTTGCAACCCCATGGACAGTAGCCCGCCAGGCTTCTCAGTCCATGGGATTTCCCAGGTCAGAATACTGGAGCGGGTTGCCATTTCCTTCTCCAGGGGATCTTCCCGACCCAGGGATCAGACTCTTGTCTCCAGTATTGGCAGGTGAATTCTTTACCACTCAATCACCAGGGAAGTCCTCTGTCTGTATATCTCATTGAAAAAATTTATCCTATACAGGTTTAATGTCATTATGCGTGAATCCAGTTTCATTGCAGAGGCTGGAAAACTAGGGCCTGTGGAATGAATTTAGACTTTGGATATTTCTTGTCTGACCAGCACTGTGTCTCAGGGTTCCTCCCACCGCCCCAGGGCAATAGTGATAGGCTGGGAGTCTGGGAACTTGGAGAAATGTTAGATGTACTTGCCATTTCTCCACAGCCCTCTTTCTGTCTCTAAAGCTACACCTGGCCAACTTCACCCCTGCCTGACCCTCTGAAGGTATTTGACTTTTCAGACTCTGGACAGGCTATAATCCTGACTCCATCAGAGCCCAGAAAGTGACCCTGGACTGGTTACTCAGCCTCTCTGTGTCTGTCTTCTAATCCTAAAATTATAGTACATTCCCAGGTTTTTTTTTTAAACCAAGGATCAAATGGGCACGTAACACAATGCCAGCCATTCAATAGATTAAAGAAAAAAAAAATGGAAAGGATAACTATTAGTAGTAGTAATTTTTAAATAATAGAAATGTTTAATGAAATAAAATTGCTGATCACCTGTGGACTCCCAACCATTGTCTCACAAGAACTGCTGCTAAGCTAGTCCTTGTTCAGATCACATTTGCCGTGTCAGTGTTTTCATCAACCATGTTTAATAACCAGTTACCAGATCTGGATATTGGGGGCTGTAAATTTCCCTGGTGACTGTTGCCAGTGGCAGGGAAGGAAAGACTTGGGTAATTACCACTTGTGTTTCCACAAAACACATGAACTCAAGTCAAAATCAAGGGGTTTGGACAATAAAACATCAGGGTCTTAAAATGCAAGAAAGAGCTGCCCAACCTGTATGATAAGAAATGGGTGCCTGGTTAGAAAACAGAAAAGGGCCTAAGATGAGTGTCGTAGAACACCGCTGGAAGCCACTGCACTGGCAGGACCTTTTCTTTTTTTCCTTCCCAGATGCTGTACACATCTGGCAGAAGAATTCAGCTTTAAGATTAGTCATGGGGTGGTTAGGAATCAGCACCTTTGCCCCAGCCACAGCCCATGGCCTTGGTCTTCTGTGTTCCGTTAGTGATGCAGGTGCCTTTCTTTGTTTAGCATGGTGGTTTGGAAATGATGCGAGGCTGTTCAGTATCTTTCAAACAAGGCACCTTAATAGGTTCCATGGAAATATCCCAAGACAGCAACAATTTAAGGGCTTTTAGAAATATGCAGACACCAACTGCAATGGAAAACGCTCAAGACAATCCTTTGCAAGATGTTGGAGTTAGATCCAAAACTCTAGTTGAGGATTCTTTGATTTTTGAGCATCATGTTTTCAGTATATGAGAAAAGAGGTTACGGTGGATTTCAGGGGAAAATGTCTTGCCTTTGGATTCCCCCAAAGTGTTACATTTCTTTTTTTTTTTTTCCCTATGGCATGTGCCCATTTTTAGGAGTATAGATGCCCTTATACCCAGCTAATGAAATGGCCCTATTTTCCTTCTGACAACAATGGTCAAAACTGATAACAGGGGAGTTGATTTTAAATCACCTAAGTTTCAAGGAGGCAGTAAGAAATAAAAATTTGCTCCAGGTATTTGGAGGGGCAAGGCTGTTTGCACAACTGGACAAGAAAGACCATTCGCAGCACTTTCTCCAGAGACCAGTATTCTGTGCATGTGATCCTTACAGTTGTTCACAAGAGCATGGGATCCTCCTGGCTCATCTGGAAGTGTTCTCCTTCCCTGTTACCCACTGTTAGAGGTATTCAGCTGAAAAGAATAGAGGGCATCTGACTGAAGAATGATGATAAGGGCAGGTTGGAGTCCAGATTTTGTATAACTCTGAAATAGTTTATGCTCTTCTTTTCTCAGTCTCAACAGAAGAGTCAATTGCAAGATGCTCCCCCATTCAAACCACTTTACATGCTACAGTTTATCTCTGAAGGAAAGAAAACACAAGCGGAACAGTTTTGTAGGACAATTCTTGCCTTAGCCTCGCGAAACAGCACTTGTAGGTACGATGAGACGTAACTGAGCTAGGCAAGACAGATACCACCTTTGGAGCAGGGAGCTGTGTTTTCCTTCAGCCAGATTTTGGGAAAATCTGCTGTTGGTTTGGACATTGGTATTAAAACAATCCCTACAAGTTCGGGCAAACATAACTGCAGAAATCTTTAAAAGCCAGTCATTTTTGTGCTGAGGGCATCAAACTGAATATTAACACATGGTGGTAACTAGCCAGTCATTCTGGGCATGTGTTTGGACTTTCAGAAGATAATCATTTCATGTCCAAGTCTGTCTCTGTCTCATTTGATCTTGGCCTAATTGCTTAATCTCTCTTGGCTTCAGGTTTTCTATCTTGAAAGTGAGAGGAATAACAACATCCAACCACCTATCTCATCCGGGTATTGAGTGGATTAATGGGGTTATGTTTGTAAGGTCCTGGAAAACTCTCCAGAGGGAGAGTTCTACCACTTTTCCACTTCCGCCTGGTAATACTTTTGAGTCATAGGTGGGAAGGGCTGCACTTAATGGGACCTTTATTACAGATGGATGTTCTCTGCTTCCTTATAACTAGAGGACGGACACCTTTTGAAAGCAGAACTTTTCATTACTGTGAAATCTCTGACTCTTTTGTCGGCACAACAATCTGGAACTCTTGTGGTAATCCAAGCTTTCTCCTCTAGCTAAACAGTCTGCGGAGCTCTGAGGAAAGCACCATGATTTTATGGCCACAAGGAATTACTAGGACTATTTCTGCATCGGTAATACTTAGATTGACTTCTGGGGTCAAACAGGTGGGTTGAGTTCTCTCTCTCCACTTCCCGGCTGGGTGACCTGAAGCAGATCTCTCAGCCTCCCTGTGCTTCATGTTGGAAGCACAACCATGAGGTAGAATGCTTGCCACAGTGTGCAGCACATGGTAAGCTTGCAGACACCATGACCTGCATTAATAGTGTGTATGACCGTAACTGCATGTATGTATTCTCCAGGGCCATGAAGACTTATAATGAGTACAAGTCTCCGACTGAGCAAATCCTAACTCATTGGAGCTTGTGCTTAACCAGAACCTGGCTTGTCCTGACTGTCCATTCACAATACCCGCATTTTGTAAGTACTCTAGATTTAGAAAAATGGGAAATTAAAAGCAAACAACTCAGTATCAGGGGTTTATGCAAATTCCTAGAGTGTAATTTTTTGTCAGTACTAATCTAGTTCAGTCTCCTGACTTTCTAGAGGCAATAACCACAGAGTACTGCTCTGAGCAGGTGGTGGCTGCAGCCATGAAATTAAAAGATGCTTGCTCCTTGGAAGAAAAGCTATGACAAACCTAGAGAGCATATTGAAAGGCAGAGATGTTACTTTGCCAACAAATGTCTGTATAGTCAAAGCTATGGTTTTTCCAGTAGTCATGTATGGATGTGAGAGTTGGACCATAAAGAGGCTAAGAGCTGAAGAATTGATGCTTCTGAACTGTGATGTTGGAGAAGACTCTTGACAGTCTCTTGGACTGCAAGGAGATCAAACCAGTCCATCCTAAAGGAAATCAATCTTCAATATTCATTGGAAGGACTGATGTTGAAGCTGAAACTCCAATACTTTGGCCACCTGATGTGAAGAACTGACTCATCAGAAAAGACCCTGATGCTGGGAAAGATTGAAGGCAGGAGCAGAAAGGGACAACAGAGGACAAGACGGTTGGATGCCATCACCGACTCAACGGACATGAGTTAGAGCAGGCTCCAGGAGGTGGTGAAGGACAGGGAGGCCTGGAGTGCTGTAGTTCACAGGGTGGCAAAGAGTCGGACGTGAGCAAGTAACTGAACAACTGCTCTGAGCAGCTGACATCCACTAAAAAGGAACTGCATGCCAAGCATCGTGCTAGACTCTGCGAATATATGTTCTCCTTTAATGAGAAAATGCCAGTGAGGTAGGTGCCATTGGTAACCTTTTCACAGAGGGAAACCAAGCTTGAGTGAGGCTGTTACCCATCCATACAGCTATTAAATGAAGAAGGCAGATGTCAGTCCTTGCCTCTGACTCGAGTCCTGTTCTAACCAGTTACTATCCAACATAAAAAAATGTGAGCCATGTATATAGTTTTTAATTTGCTAGGAGCTATATATATTTTTTTTAAAAGTTAAGAAGCAGGAGAAATTAATTTCAATAATATATGTCTTTAATCCAATATATCCAAAATATTATCATTTCAACATAGTCAGGATAGAAGTTCTTAATGAGATATTTTGTAATCTTTTTCTTTTTTCATACTGAGGCTTTGACATTCAGTTTATATTTTGCACTTACAGCCCATCTTTATTTGGAGCAGCCGTATTTCAAGTGCTCGGCGGCCACATATGGTCCATGACCACTGCACTGAGCAGTGTACCCTCACCCGTGCACCATCATGCCTGAGTCTTTGAAGACGGTGTCATCCGGGTTTACCAGACTGTATTTATTGAGGAAGAAGATTTTCCTTTTTTCAACAAAGGTAACAAAAAGAGGAGGCTGAGAGTTATAGCAGGAGTTTAACATGTTAATTCGTACATTCTCGGTTTGCTAAACAATTAATTTATCATCAAAGAATAGCTTTTTCCTGGAACATCCTGCTCGCTGAGCTTTCACTTTGTCATATATAATATGTGTATTTATACAAGTTAGTATAAATAGAAAACCATTACATGAATGAAAGAATGAATGTATTCACTACCATGTAATAGGAAGATCTCTTAAGAAGGGAAGATATATAAGCACCATAAAGGCAAGAACTTGATCTCATTTTTGCCCAGCTCTGTAACCCTGCCTGTAGGAAAGTGCCAGGCATGCGGGAGGCTTACAAGAAATATTCTCTGTAGAGCAAATTGACAAATCCACCTGGAGAAATGAGTTATTTCACATTTTATTCCTAATGGGCAGAAGGAATCGGAATTCCTTCCTTCTCTCCCCTGAGTGGATTTTAATGCTCAAATGATAAATTTATTTAAACCATGTATGTTTCCAAATGAAATGGCATCAGTGAGACCCCAGAAATCGAGGGTCTACTTTTAAGAGAGTTGTTGACTTCCTCACGAAGAGTCCCGCTGTCAGAGGCAGGTGTCCTGGGAGATGCTGGCAGAGGCCGCAGACTGCCCCACCTGTCCCTCAGCCCTGAGTGTGTGGCCTCCAAGAGAACCCCCTCACATGGTCTCCCTGACCCAGACCCCCATGGTATCCTCAGAGCATTCCCAGGGCCCTCGCCTGACTCACATGCACATTCTCCTCCCACCCCACAGGATTCCTGCATTGGTGCTCAACCACCCACCCCCATGGTTTCTTCCTGGTCTGACAAGATATCAAGATGTTCTGCCTCAAGAGAACCTGAGGACGGTCTCACATCAAATCTCCTTTAGTTTTGAGGGGGCTGGTCCAAACCCCAGTGGCTAACAGGTATCCTTTAACCCTAAACCTAGCTTTGCCCTTCTAACTTAAAAATTAATTTCCCTAAAGTGACCAAACACTGATGTATTGTCAGAGTTCTCTGAATGGCAAGTGCCAAAACCCAACTCAAACTGATTTCACAAAAGCAAGGTGAGGAGGTTAAGATGGGCCTCAGGCATGGCTGGATCCAAAGGCTTCCACAAGGTCAGAAGGCCAGTGTCTCATTTTGTTTCCATTTTAAGACACTGCTTACTCCTGTATCACCTTCATTTTCAACACTGTTATGTCATGGGACGCTTCCTAACCCCTTGCCCAGAAACCACACTTATAGCCAGTCAGGGTTCTTGATCTGCAGGACTCATCTTTACCCGGCTGTGTCCTGGGGCCAGTTGCTTCACTGCTCCAAGCTCAAGTTTCCCTTCCGTGACATCAGGATAATAACAGCCTTCAGGTCAGGCTCGATGTCATGTCTGTCAACTGCTTAGCACAGACAAGAGTGAGTTTTTTAAGACAGAACTGTGGGGAATTCTGTTTCCCAGGGGATAGGTAGTCAAGACTGCAGAAGAGAGACAGTTCACAAGTTCTCTCAACCTCAAGCCAGCCTCAGGTGACAGAGGCCAGCGTGCATCTGTGCTCACAGCTCTGGTAAGTCCACAGTGCTTGGGAACCCTGGCAATTACATGGCCATAGGAAGGCCTGTCTTCTGATGGCGACCCATTAGGCCAAGTAAACCCCTCCCTCTTGCTGGACCCCCCTGGAACTTGTAGGGTAGCCAGCCAGCAAGAGGAAAGATCCCCAGTGTTGAACTTTGGCTCTTAACAGGCCAGAGGCCCAATGCCTTCACCCAGCAGCAGTAACAACAGATATGTTTACAGATACATTTAGGGGGCCTCCCTCTTATTCTAGAGCCTGTTCAGTTCCAGTGATTCATGTAAGTGATCAATAACTACCTACTCACTAAAATGAACAAACCAACATGATAACATGACCCAGAACATACACTACTGCTGTGATGAATGATGCACCATAATGCTTGTTAAAGGAATAGTTGATGATCCACAGTTGATGAGCCATGAGTATCAGCTGAATGAGTAAAAAATGAATGAATGAATGAAGAGTTTATCAGTCATGGTTTTGGCTACTACTTCCCGTATGTATTAAGCTGATATTTGACTTGTTTTTTGTAGCTGCAATTCAGTCCCGACAAATGGATGATCTAAATCTATGACTTGTTTTTATTTTGTTATTGAATTTTAAAATAGATGATGCCACCATATGGATCGAGTTCCGTCTTCAAATAGAAAGAGATATTTTCAAACATCCTTGAATTGAGCATGCAGAATGAGGGCGGCATGGTGCTTACATACCCACTAATCTCTGTTATGACATGTCTGCATGACGGAGAGGATCATACTCCTGGGTTGAGGAAAGGAGGGCTGTCCACGGATGACACGTGAGTGGAGCCATCGTGTTCCTGTATATACTCCGTAGATATATGGACAGGCTGGAATAGGTAAATCTAATCCTTTGCCATTATTCATTTCACTTTCCTGAATTCTGTGGTATTTCCAAGGAGTGACTGCTTTTCTTCTGGGTTAAGTAGAAATCTTTGCTTAAGTCAAAACCACTTACTTTAAATACATTTGGAGACACCAGGATCTTTGGCCCTAGGAGTATTTCTCATGATTTCAAAGTCAATGAATTGTCACTTGACCTTAACGGATACTTATAGATCACTGAATTACAGATTAAACTAAGTGGAGAAAAGAAGCTTTTCTCCAAAATTCAGTGATTTACTGAGAAAGATTTGAGAAGTCATAACAGTGTCACTTTATTGAGCACTGATGATTATAGTGGCAATGTATACAAAATTAAAAGGACTTGGGGTTTCATTCTGCTACTTGGAATTATTTGTGGTCCCTTTTAAGGAGGTCAAGGATATTTGCACAGAAGAAAGAATATCTTGTCAGAGTCACTCCGGTTAAAATTCAGCAAGATGTGCAGTTGCTATGATGAGTCAGAACATTCTGGAAAAGTTATTAATAAAAAAATATGCCTCAGCTTCCTAGATATTTTTTGCATAGGTTGTATACCAAATAATTGACTAAATGGTAAAATTCTGTCCCTTTAATTTAGATATGTTGCTATTATGTTTCTTATTAAAAAATTTTCTCCATCATTGGTTTGAAATTAAAAAACAAAGTGTCACATAGCTGAAAATAACAAGAGATGTTCCTATTCTTAAGCAGTCTTGAGATGCCCAGATGCACTTTTCTTCTTCAGGCAAAGTCCATCTTAACACTCACCTTCCAGGTAGGCTTTCTAGGTGCTCATGAAAGGAAGACTGTTCACTGCTTCATACTTGGAAAGAACAGATTTGAGCTGTACTGGAATCTGCTTAGAACTGAATTTGTACATGAGCCGTTTTAATGAGATTGTATTCTTCCACTAACTGGTTTCACAGCATGCTGAAGTCCAAAAATTTTGAAAAATAATTTCACTTTTCTAGATTTTCCTTTCAGAGAAAGGAACTTAGCTGAAGAATTTGAAAATGTGCTCTGACATAAGAAGTTGGGCTGGGTAACAGGTTATTTGGGAACAAAAGTAATTTTTAACGAGTGTAACCAAATCAGATTTCTAAACCCTAATGCACAGATTTAGGCACATGATACTGAAATTTGTGACCAATAAATAAATAAGGCAACACTAAAATTCCAGCATTTTCTCCTGTCTCTCTGAAGAGAAAGTCAGCTTCTTCTGTGCTAGTAAAGGGACTTGGGTTCTACTACAAATAGTTAATCTGTATTCTCCTAAACCCAGAATCAAGAGGTGCACTGGCCCACAGAGAATGCAGAATGGGCAGCAAAACTCATCATGCCAGCTGCCTTTTAAAAGAAAATGCCAGTTAAGGGAAAAAATCGCCTTTCCAAAGAAATGATATAGCAAAAGGGGAAGTCATGGAATACTGTCTTTCTTCACAAGAAACTATTCTCTTATCAGACTCTTTCCAGTTAAGGTAAGGCTTATATGGAAGAGGTCAGAAGGGAAAGCGGGGGGCACATTTGGGGAAACAGGGAGAGATTAAAGAAGAGTTTTGCCTTTAATATACAATATTAAACCCCTAATATTTAGAGTCAGATTATCAATGTTCAGACCGCTGCTTAGCAGTTACACAGCTATGAGCATGGCCATTCATTCATTCTGAGCGTTTTCTCTCAGCCACTCGATGGAGGTTACAGTCTGAAAAGAGAGGGGACACCCCTGCCCTTCTGGTGCTTACATCTAGCAAGGAGAAGCAGAAAACAAACATGCATGCCGATGAAACAAGATCATTTTAGACCAGGGTAGAACAAGAAAATCATACAGAGAACCACTGGTGGGGCGAGCAGGGGTTCTCCTAGCTTAGTGCGTATGTTGAGGTGGTGACCAGAATGCAGTGAGGGGACCCGGCTGGGAGGAACAGCTTTCCAGGCAGACGCAACAGTAAGTGCAGAGGACACGCTGCAGTGAAGCTGGCAGGCAGGCCACCGTGTTTAGACTTTACCTGGTAAACCGGGAAGTCCGTGCAGGACCTCACGCAGGGGAGTGATGTGATCTGAGCCGCACCGGGGAGTGAGCCCTCACGTCCTCGTCCCTCGCTTCAGGGCCAGCACGGGAGGAACACCAGACCGAGGCCTTTGCAAAGAGCAGGGAATCCAAAGGATGCCGTGCAGACAAGGTCGGAATTCACGGTGTGTTGCTGAGTGTGGATGCTGTGGTTGCTGATAGTGCTGCTGGAATGAAGGCAGGGAAGTCATGGCTTCCTAGCAAGCCAGAGAGTGAAATAAGGACCCGTCTCTGACAGACCCGTCAAAGTGAACCAGACTTGAATCAGGCTTTCCTGGTGTGGCTTATGGAACTTACCTGAGCTCAGCTGGTAAAGAATCTGCCTGCAGTGCAGGAGACCTCAGTGTGGCTTATTTCCGAGGTTTCCATGTTTGGGGCACAGTGAAATGAATCAAACCATTTCAGGGAAAGACTCTTCCCACTAAGGTACACCTTTTATGGAGCTGGCCAAGGCGAGAAGTGTGGGCACATCTGGGGAGCCAGGGAGATAACTGAAAAAACAAATATGTTTCTCATTATTTATAGGTAAAGTATGGTGGTTAAGCCTCTGTTATTTAGAGTCAGATTACCGAGGCTCAAACTCGTGGGTTTGAACACTAGAACTGCTTGGGTTTATAGAAATTGTGACCTCTTTGAACCTTTCTTTTTCTCCATATTGTGCAGATAATAACAAGATCTTCCCTCATGAAACAGTAAAGGTGAAACAAAGCAGTGAATTTAAAGAGTTCAGACAGGGGCTGGTATCCGGTACCTAATAAAGTGAAGTGAAGTTGCTCAGTCGTGTCCGACTCTGCGACCCCATGGACTGTAGCCCTCCAGGCTCCTCCAGCCATGGAAGTTTCCAGGCAAGACTACTGGAGTGGGTTGCCATTTCCTTCTCCAGGGGATCTTCCCAACCCAGGGATCGAACCCGGGTCTCCCACACTGCGGGCAGACACTTTACTGTCTGAGCCACCAGTCATCTCTGGAAGCAACCAATGGATCTGGAAGAGGTCAATAAATGTTACCTGCAATTATTACTATTGTTCATTACTCACTATTATCTCAGCATTTATCAGCCTCATCCATATTGAATTCTACCGCACAGACCCAGAGGATCACATACAATTGTATGCCATATTTTTCTCTTCCTACACTTCTATCCAGACCTTTCTCAGGCAACTCATTTGTTTCAGGATTTTACTCAGAAACCCAGGGACGCATATTCCTTGTGTCGAAATCACTGCAGCCATCTTCTCCATGGCCGGATCTGGAAAGAGGCCTTTTGGACATGATCTCAATTGTGAGAACATTCCTAACAAGTTCCATGTTTACAGGTAAGGAAATCGGGACTCAGAAGGGGAAGTGGCCCCCGTAGAGTCACTAGGTCAGCAAGAAGCAGAACTGAGATTCAGACTCAGGTCTGTTGGACCTCAGTGTCTTGTAAAACTAAAAAAAAAAAAAAAATCTATTAACCCCCCCCACCCCCAAATACCCCTGACACCCACACAGAAAGCACCAATGACTATAAAGAGGGCTCAAAATGAGAGAACTGTGATCAGGCCCAGCAAATGGAGAGCCCAAGGTTCTCAGAGAGACTCTCAGTCTGCCAGGTGTCACAAAGTGTCTCCCCGCTCCCCCCACGCGCCCCCACCCAGGCCAGTGGCAACACAATGTGCTGGTATTACTTTGACTGTGGCCATGTGGTGGTGAGGAGCCCTGAGCCCCTTCCGGCCTCTTTGTCCTGTTTAGTGCTCCATCTGTGGGCCCCTCGCCGGCTGCCCGGCTGGTCTTGACTCTGAGGTGGAGGAGTAAACATCTCGGGAATCTTTATTAGTTTATTTCAGAAGATGGAGCCTGTTTGTCCCTGGGGCCCGTCCCTTTTTTATGGCCTCCAGCCCTTCTTGACAAATTCTAGTGACTGGAGAGAAAACCGCTTTCTACAGCGGATCATTAAAACACCACCATAAACCCAGGGCCATAAAATATTATTTGCTGGGCATAAAAGGAGGGTAGATTTTCCCAGAATGACAGCCCAGCCCTGCTTTCTCCCACTGAGAAAGGCAGCACGGGGATGCGATCGTTCATAAATTCCTTATCTCACACTCTGTTTTGTGAAATAATCCTGGTGGGAGAGCAGCCAAAAATATTGATTTATTTGTTCCACAGGCTCAAAAGCGTTTTTAATGAGTGGAGTATGGCGATGCCTTGCCAGTGTGTCTGCAGATGACTCAATCTGTATGCACACACCCAAATGCACACACACTTGGGAAAGGGAAACCATGGAGTTGCACAAACTGGAGGTAGGTGAGACAAGAATATCTGAAGAGGGAGGTGAAGGGGCATCCATTTCCCTCCTTCTGGCTGGCTGCCTGTTTGCCAGCCAAACCAACCAACACCCATGGTGGGGCTGCTGCTTACAACAGGGCCCGCTTTCCAGAGGAGACCTGATTGAAGGCTCACAGTGGATTTCACAGTTGGTTTCCCTTGACATTTTCCCCTGGAAAGAATTCCTTCATCCATTCATGCATTCATCAGATCATTCATCAAACACTACCAAGCACTTACTAAGTACCAGGTACTGTTCTGAGCAGTAGAGTGAGTGAGAGCAGTGGAAAACACTGTTACTGAGTTTACTGCATCCTCCTGGGGTATAATCTCAGCACAGATATTAGTAATATCATCAGATAAAGTTCATAATCTTTTATCTGAACTCCTTGGGGATAGATTGATTTGTTGGAAATTTTAGAATTTTTTTTGAAAGATAAAATGGGGGCATATGATAATTTAGTTTGCAAATAGCCCCCGTGAGGTCTGGGGAAGTACCCAGTAACCCAACACCATTCGTATTCTGTGAAAAGTATGAACATTCACTTTAACTGGGATAAATTAAGACTCTAAATGATCTTGTCACAGGAGGTCCAGTTTCACCACCAAAGGAGCGTGAAAACCCGTCTTCAGAGCTGCTGTTTGTAGAGGAGCAGGTAATGAGGACCCTGTGCGCTGCCTGAGCCCTGCTGAGTTCTCCATGAACTCCGCTGTTCATTCTCGCTGCACCCCAGATTTTCAAGGTCATCTGTTTCATTTTCACTGCTTTCCTACCAGGTAGGTCATCATATTTCTGTTTTTCTTTGTTGTGTGGCAAGGTCATTATATTTCTATGGTGTTTGTTTATATTGTAACAAAATCAATATTTTTGTTATTGTTGTCATAGGTGTGTGTTTAAGAGGATTCTGAGAGGCTAACTGACTTGTCTAAGGTTTCACAGTTAGAAAGTGGCAATTTTAGGACTGGAACTCCAGACTTCAGAGTTTATGCTCAGCCGTAACCCAGCTCTAGTGTCTTCTCCAGGAGAGAAAAGAAAGCAGAGCAGGAAGTAAAAGTGCTGGGGCTGGTCCACACACTAACAGAGGCAACGGGAGAGAGCAGGCGATTGTTCAGATAATTCAGAATACAACAAGTTAAAAAAGAGGTTTGTGGTGAGGAAGCTGGTGTTTCTGGACTGATGGTATGTGGGGGGCAAATTCTGGGAGTAGGATCTTGTAAACATCAGCGTCCAGCACTTGGGTGACAACGAACTGTGTTCTTAGCTTATTTCTGGCCACTTGTCAGAGCCTCCGTGGGTGAACTGGGTCTGTGGGGCATCACTGGGGCGCCTGCCTGGTAGGAGCGTGTGCTCCCCACGGCTGGGAGAAGCCAGGGTGCAACCGCTGGGTGAAGGAACTGGAGAGGGAACTGCGGGGGAGGGGGGCGGCATGCCGAGCGGAGACCCCTTTGTTTACACCCTCCCTCCCATGGGCAGATCTAAGGCTAGATTATAATTTGGAAAATAGCCCCCCAAGTCATCAAGGCCTAGAGAAGGTCTATCGGAAAGGGGATTCATGTGAATGGGCTGCGTCCCAAGGGGATCTAAGGTAAATGTGCATCGGCCCTTAGGTCTGCGCGCACCCCTAGTGAAACAAAGCGAGCCTCACACTGCCATTTTGGTGCGCCCAGCAGGTCAGGGCCTTGGAGGGGTGCAGTCAGCTAGGACAAGTCACGGTTAGGAAGGGACTTGGGAAGCGCAGGCGGCGAAGCCCTGGGGTAGTCCCCAGAGATGGGAGTGGGGGATGGAAAGAACAAACAGCTACCATCCTAAGTACCTGCCTTAAGGTCAAGTACATGCTGGAGCTACTGCGGAAACGGAATGTGTATGTGTGTGTGGTGTGTGTATGTGTGTCTGTGGGGTGTGGGTGTTCCTTCCACCTTCGGTTGGGGATGGCGAGGGCTGAGGAGAGTAACTGTGCTCCAGTGCGAGGCATGGTTTAACCTGGGTGGCGCCCTTGGCGTGCTGGGTGTAGGGGACACATCTGGCAACCCCGCCCAAGCAGGACCCCCCAAACCACAGGTGTCTGGAAGTTTCAGTGGAACCCGATTTTGCCGAACTTTGCAGACTTCTCACCTGAGGTTGGGAACCAGTCAAGACCCAACCGGCAGGACCACGGGTCACTTCTAGATGCGCTGGGTCACAGCCAGATGCTCAGTCACGCACCGAGTACCCAGATCTGCTACCCTAGGGGCGGTGCCGAACTTGCACACTCACCCTCGGTCCAGCCAGGGGCTTGGGGACCCTCCCCCAGGGATAAGAATGGGGAGGTGGTCCTCCTAGAGGTTCCGTGGCATGGCGGCAGCCCCGGTGCAGCCTAGTGCAAGCCGCCTTGGACAGGCGAGCCAAGGGGTCCAAGCTGAAGTTGGGGTTCACCTTCCAGTGGGTAGGCGGCTTTGGAAGGAGAGCAGAGCGCCAGGCGGCGGTCAGGCTGCGGCTAAGGAGTGGACCTCTCCCTTTCATCAGATGCCTGGGGGATGGGAAGCCAAGAGGAGGGGTCTCCTGCTGGGAGTGTATCCCGACGCCCCCCCTGCACCCCAGCTTGTGGTACGGCTTTAAAATCCTGCGGAGTTTGTCATAGGTCGGCCTCATCACGCATGCGCAAAGGCAAAGTTGGTTTTTTTTTTTTTTTGGGGGGGTGGGGGGGACGCGGTCCCTGCGGTCGGTCAGTCTGTCTGCGGGGCGCAGGATCGCGTGGAAGGTTGCTGCAGGCTTCCAGGCGCCGCCTCCGCCGCACGGAGTCCGGTTCCGTGCAGCCTCTGCCGACCGAGCTCCTTCGCCGCTGCCGGACCCGGACCGCCCGCCTCCCGCCGCCCGCTCTCCCGCCCCTCCGGCCCCGGCGCCAAACGAGGAGGTGGGCAGCCACGCCGGCCATGGACCGCCGGAGCTGAAGAGCCTCCGCGAAGCCCCTGGCCCTCGCGTCTCTTCGCCCTTTTCCCTGGAAAGGCGGGGGGAAAGAGGGGGACTAACCAGAAGAGAGAGAGAAGAGGGTGGGGAGGGGAAACCGGTGTCTCCCCCGGGGGCAGTCGCGCATCGTCCCGAACCCACAGAGGCAGAACTTTCAGAGACGACTTTTATCAGTTTGCGCCCACCTTTTTGCCAAACCCTAAAATGAAAGGACAAAAGTTGGCGCTGACTCTGGCAGCTCGGATGACGACTGGAGCGTTTTCTGCGGCATCTCCAGGAGAAAAACCCGTGCGCGTCTGATTGTTCTGTGGCCCCAAGCTGCAGTGCGCGTGTGTGTGGGGGGTGTGTTTGGGTGTGTGTCTGTGTGTGTACACAGACGTCCACACACTCACTCGCGGCCGCGGGATCAGCGCCTGGAAGCAGACGTTTCGGCCACAGACTCAGACTCTTAGAGGAGGAGCTGGCTATCGGGAGGCGTGAGCCGCCAAAAGTCTGCAGGATCCTGGTGTGAATGAACCGGAGGCACCTGGGCGCGGGGATCACCTCCCCCACCCCCCGCCCCGGGCCAGAGTTGAGTTGTGGGGCATTTTTTTTTTTTCACCCTCTTGTGAAGAATTTTTTTTTTTTATTATTTGTTGTAAAGTCTTTTGCACAATCACGCCCACATTTGGGGTTGGAAAGCCCTAATTACCGCCGTCGCTGATGGACGTTGGAGAGGGAGCGCCTCGCCGAGGAACAGTCGCCTGCGCGCCCTCGCCGGACCCGTGGCTCCCTTGTTGCGCGCCGGCCGGGTCCTGCTCCTGCTGCCGGCAGGCGGACTTCGGCGCCCCCTCGGTTCCCGCGCGCATCCCAGCGCTACTCTGGCTTGGACACCCAAACTCGAACGCTAGTGACGGCTTAGGCTCCAGTCCCCAGAGCCTGCCGGACGAGCCGTGGAGAGACCCGCAGCTCTGCGCAGGATCGCCTCCGCAGGCTTAACGAGGCCGCTCCGCTTGGATTCTTCGGCTCTGGTGGCGACTTCCTCCCCGCGCCCCCTCCCCCTCGCAATGAAGGTAGGTGTTCTGTGTGCCGCCGACGCTCATCACTTTTTTTTTCTTTACATTGTTTTCTTTTGGAAGTTAACTGACCTCCCCCCCAACCTCTCCCTATCCCCCCTTCATTTCTCCTACCTCTGGAGACGCTAGAACCCCCCGCGTAGCTGGCAGAGACCCCTACCCTTTCGCCCTCCCCCCATCCCCGTGCACTACCTCGGTCTCCCGGGAGACAGACCTCCTCTTGTCCCACCAAAAGTTCTGCAAACTTTTTTTAGACTTTGGAGAAAAAGTGGGGTCGAGACAGCGCAGAAAAACTGAGAGAGGTCCGCGGACGACTTTCCTTTTGCCCTGAGAAACTCAAGTGTAGCTTACTATGTATATTTCAGTAACAGGATAATGATTCAATTCAACAAATATTTACCAAGCCCCCACTGGCGCGGACCCCGAGAGGGTGTGTGGCCGGGGCTCAGAAAGGGGAAGGGGACTCCTTGGATGAGAGACCGTGAACCCAGACCAGGAGCCGACTATTCCTGAGCCTCGTACCCCCGCCCTTTGCTGCCAAAGGCCAGGTTGCCGGCTCGTCGAAGCCGGGGAACCCAAGCGCAGCAGGCCCTGTGCCTTTAAGAGTGCCTGGCAGGGGGCCAGCTCGCACCCTGGCGCAGGGATCAGGGTCGCGTTATTAGCATTATTAGCCGCCACTGGGTGAGCTCCGCACTTTGCAGCGGTGATAGGGGTGGGGAGGGCTGGCGGTGGTGGCTCTAATTTGGTCCGCTGGGAGAGCGCACCCGGCCCCCCGCGCGGAATCCTCCTAGTCCTTTAGAAACATTTGGGCCTCCGGGTTGGGAGAGCGGGCGGGGGGCAGTTTGTGAACTCTTGTTTGTTTTAATTGTCAGTTGTATGTTAAAGCCGAGTCACACACTCCGAGGGTCACCGAGAGTTCACTTTTACGAAAAGTTAACATTTCCTGCAGTATAACTAGCTATTTTCCAAACAATTTTTCCTCTCTGTTCTCCAATCTTCGATCTTTATTTTTCTTTTTCTTGATTCTCCTCTCAAGTTTTCTAGAAAATAAGTTTGGGATTGGAATTCAGATGTTTCCTAAAGCACCCCCTCCAAAAAAAAAGTTCATAAAAAACCCACAACTTGGAGATCCCGTGGCCTGTTTTACTCTCCAATCGCAGTCTGGCATGGGGGCCCCTTCTCGTCTCCCGTCTTTCTTAAAATGAACAGCTCTCTGTCTGGAAGTCACTTGGAGTCAGTGGTGGGATCACACCTCCTCACCCGCTGCCCTCCTGCCAACGTTCAAGGCTACTCAGGCCAGATGCAGAGATTTTGCTTCTAGACAAACTCTGCGGGGAGCCAAGGGTGTGCAGGCAGTGGAGATTGTGTGTCCAAGTGTGTGGTTCTGTGCCCTGCATGTTGTGGAGAGTAAAGGGCCAGTTGTTCTCGGGTCTTGTACATACTATAGCCTCAGCCAGGCCCGGTGCCACAAAGGAAGACCCTCCCACCCCAGGAGGCTCGGTCAGAGTCCCTTGCTTTTCCCTCCGCTCTACCGGGCGCTCTGGTGCACAAGGGGTTAGCGCCGACTGCCAGAGCTCAGCTAGTCCTCTGCCTTTTTCTTTGTCGCTGTGCGGTGCCGGCTGCCCCCTGTTGGCTGCCTTGAGGTAGAACATCTTGGAGCCTGTGTCCTGGCCAGTCGGGCAGCTTCCTCGCCTCTTCCTCCCACCTCTGGCTTTACAAGAACATCCCTTCGGATCGCCAGGTCCCACTCTACAAGGAGGGCCCCTCGGAGGCCCCCAGAGCACATGCTGCACTGTGCGGCTGCATCAGTAAGGGGCCAAGTGTCCGATCCAGCGAATGGGGCTCGGGCGAGTGGAAGAAGGGTTGGTACCCCTTCTCCCGGGCACAGCAAGGAGCAGGAGCATCCCCCTAGGAAGTCTCGGGTCTGGTCTTGATGCCCTCACTGGTTCACCCTGTAGCCGAGGGCCAGCGCTTCTTTTTCTCTGTCGGCCTCAGTTTCTTGTCTATTAAAAAGTGGAGTTGAAATCACCTCTGAAAAATGGGTGTTGAAGCGTTCTGTAATTTTCCTTCTCTTTCCTTCCGCGGACAAACAGTTATTTGGGAGAGTTGAGAGCCTGTGCCTAGAGAGCTAGGCTAGACCTCCTGTGTGGGAAGGTAGAAGTGAGGTTTCTCTCTCCTCCTGGTCCCCCCAAGTGTGTATGTGTGTGTGAGAGAGAGAGAGAGTTGTCTTGCTGTCTGGAGATTTTGTCTGAGGATGGATGAGCTGAGGCCAGCAAGAGAACTAGACTTGACCACTGCCCTTCCCTCGGAGACTCCCTGGTACCCGACTTGGTGTCCCTGTGAATCACGGCAGTCAGAAGCTGCACACCTTCCTTCCACTGCTTTGGGCCCTCCTCCACCTCCTCTCTCGGCTCCCCCACCCCTTCCCACCCTCGGTGCAGTGGACACACCCGGGCGACTAGGGGCAGCTGCGGCTCTCTTGTTCCAGGCTAGAGGCCTGGGGGAGCGCGGGCTCCTCCCGGGCTCCCCCGAAGTGGACCTCCCTTCAGCCCACCATCCCCTCCTGCTTCTCCCCGCGGTCCCCAACTTTGTGGCTGCCGCTGAATTTTTCTCCTGCAGTTTTCTCCACCTCTCTTTCCTTGCTTTCGGGAGAGGTTGAAGTGGGGGAAACAAAATATATCTCCCACTAAGGGCTGAGATTCTTAAGAGTTTCCTGTTTTTCGCCACCGCGAGCCCAGGTCAATCTAATTTCTTCTCCCAGTTTCTCCCATCATTTCCGCTCCCAGAGATTAGGGCCTGGGGGCTGGGGCTGGACGTGAAGACTAGGGTCTGGGGCTGGGGTGCCCAGACCGAGTGAGGTAGGGCCAGTGGCTGAGGGGAGAGAATTTTCTCCCTGCCTCGAGGGAATTTCTTTTTAGGCTCCTCTGGCCTCCGACTTGGGCGTGCTTTCCCAGGCTTTCTGCCGCCCCCCAAAGTCCTCTAAACTCTTGTGACGGAGTTTAGAGGATTCTCGGCCCGCACACCAGTTGATAAAGAAGGGTTAGGGACACTTTTAATCCAGGGGAAGGCTTTGGAGGAGAGACAGTATAAGCCGACTCTACGTGGATCTGCTCTGGGGCTGGAGACAAGGGCGCGCAAACGCCCTACCCCCACCTCAGCCCTCCCTTGCGCTTGAACCTCTCAAATGCCCGCAGCCCTCCTCTCTGACGCGCGCTAGAGACAGATTCCAAGTCTCCTTACAAAGTCCATTTCCTCGGACCCTGAAATTGTTCAAAATTTTTAGCCCGGTCTTCGGTGAATTCAGCTTCTACCCAGAACTTTTACCCTGGGTGTTACGGTCTCCGGAGAGGTCTTATTTTGTCCTCTTTTTGGATCAGTTCTCTTGGTAAACAGGCAGGGACGTTTACCCTACAGTTCGGTGTATCAGTGAGTTGGCTGTGGCTTCCTTCAGTCTTTAAACTTGTGGGGCCTTTTCTGGGTTGCATGGGGGATTGGAGCGGGAAGAGGGCCAAGGTGTTTCCGGGCAAGCGCGCGGGTTAAGTGGAGACGCGACTCGCGGGGCTCTCCCAGCAGATTCCCTTCGGGACACCTCCGGCCTACTCCCAGCCCGGGGCTTAGAGACCCGCGTCGCGGAAGCCAACTGCCCCGCTCCCACTTTGGCCCCAGTTCTGTGAACGAGTGGCTTCTCCCCGAGGTCGTCGGGCCAAGAGTGGGATCGGTTTGTGTGGCTTCTCCTCTAACAAAGAGATCCGCAGTAATCCGCGGAATCTGTTATCAATTTCTCGGCTGCCCGCGCCCCGCCCCGAGCGCCCCGCCCGTCGGAAAGCTGGAAAAGTGCGCGCGACCCGCAGCGCGGTCTCTGCCTCCGCCTGGGAAGCACGTCGGAGAGCGTGTGTGTCTGTGCACGAGTGAGTGTGTGAATGTGCCAGAGTGTGAGTGTGTATGAGTGTGTGCACGCGCGCGGCCTTGGCCCCCGATGGGGAGAGTTGACTTCGCAACTTGGGCCGCGCGAGAAAGCAGCCCTCGCGAGCCACCCCCTCCCCTGGAGGAAACTTGACACTTCGGGCGGGGGTGGGGAGGAAGACCGAGCCTTCTCTCTCTCCTGGGCTGGGGAAATCCCAGGCTTCTCTTCTGCGGGATGCGCCCCCCAGCTTTGCGACGTTTTAGGGATGAGTGGGCCTCGGGCGCGGAGCCCTGGGTGGCGGGCACTGGGGACCACATAAGCATTTCCTCTAGAGAAGCCCCGAGGAATCAAGGCCAAAAGGGAGGCTGGCAAGGGAAAGCTGGGGCGCGCTCCTGCGCCCCTTCGCGTCTCCACCGCTGCCTCGGTCCCCCCAGTCTTTTCTGGCGCCGGTTCCAGCCCAGGCCCTTCTGCAGCCTGGAGGAGGTTCACCTTTCCTTTTCCGAGGAAGGGGCTCCCTTGGCAGCCAAGGGTGGCGCAGCGCGGCAGGGTTACTCTTATCAGAGATGTAAAAGTGGATTTTGGAAAGCCGTTCCTCCCACCCGCCGCCGTCTCGCTCCGCTGCCGCCTACAGGTGAAGTCACCAGTGGGGAGGACGGCGGTGGATGCTTCCGAGGCCGCCCCCTGCCCCCTAAATTCTTGACGACGGGAACCTTCGCTGCCGAGGCCCTCTGCGCCCTGGAATCCAGGGGCTCGGCCGAGGCGCGGGAGCCAGCGCATCTCTGGCCCAGCCGGGGGCTCCTTCGCAGGGGCCGGGGCCTCACCCTGCACCCTCATCTTGCGGGGCTGACCCAACCGCGTCCGAATTGGGCTGGAGGGTGGGGGAGCGGAGTTTCAAGACCACGCTTAAGGTGCCCCGATGGCGAGATGATCGACTCCAGACCAGGACCAAAGAAAACGAGTCCTCTCGGCTTCCTTTCCCCTTTCTCCGTGGCAGCTGCTAGAAGTGGGGACTGGAGGGAGCGGTAGTGGGAGTGAGAAAATGAGATTTTGGGGGAGCGCTGTGGGGAGGGAAGGGAGCCCCTCTCCTCGGACAGCGCGACCCGGGTGAGGGGGGGAGGAGGGTGTATCCCTCCTCTGGGATACACTCCAAGGCGGAGGCCGGAGGCAGGAGAGGGCACTGTTTTCCGGTTTCCTGTGTTGGGAGAGCAGCTCGCCCATCCCCTTATGCCCCGTGCGCCCCCATCTCCTTCTCCCCACTCCAGTCTGGCCGAAGAGCGGTCTAAGGAAACCCAGGCTGCCTTTCCCGCTATGGAAGCGGCTAGCCCCTCGCGCTCCTCTCGCCCATGGAATTAATTCCGGCTCCACTTGTTGCTCGGCCCAGGTCGGGGAGAGGACGAGGGTGGCAGCGGGTCCCCGAGTGAATTCCCGAGGAGGGACTCAGCGCAGCGCGGAACTAGAGGGGAGCGAGGGGGTGCAGGACGAGAGCAAGCAGGAAGGAGGCAGCGCCTGGCACCGGGGCTTTGACTCAACAGCATTGAGACATGTTTGTAATCGCTGGCGTGCCCCGCGCGCAGGATCCCAGCGAAATCAGATTTCCTGGTGAGGTTGCGTGGGTGGATTAATTTGGAAAAAGAAACTGCCTATATCTTGCCATCAAAAAACTCACGGAGGAGAAGCGCAGTCAATCAACAGTAAACTTGAGAGATCCCGGATACTTCCGTTGTTTAAACTTGTATGCTTGAAAATTATCTGAGAGGCAATAAACATCTGCTCCTTTCTTCCCTCTCCAGAAGTCGATTGGAATATTAAGCCCAGCAGTTGCTTGGGGGACGGCTGGAAGGGCAATGTCTTCCAAGTTCTTCCTAATGGCTTTGGCCATATTTCTCTCCTTCGCCCAGGTTGTAATAGAGGCTAATTCTTGGTGGTAAGTTTATCCTGTATGCATATTCTTTTACTTTAAGATTCGTTTGCATTGTATAATGAATGCTGCAATATTCTCAGTCGTGAATTTGGGTGCATTTATGTAATACACACATATATATCATATATATATTTATATATGTGTATGTATCTAAACATATGTATCTTTAAATCAAATTTTTCTTTAAATTTTGTGAATTTTTGCTAATTTTTAACCCTGTGAAGCTTATCTTTAGTTCCATAGGGAATAGAAGCTATAAATTTAACTTTTTTTTGAGGTTCAGATTATGCTTGTAGTACACATCATGTAATTAAGGGAAACCAGAATTCACTTCTCTAATAATTGTAAGCCTATCTATAAAATGTGCTTTTTGCTACCTTTAGGTAGTAAAAGTGAGTTTCAACATTTATTTTCTGTCACTTGAGGTTACTAACTTTCAGGGTCTGACGTAGGCAGAGTTGCTAGGAAGATAGCTAAACTCCAAGTGGGGAAGTACCGGGGGCTTGAAATTTAATCAAAAGAGGTTACCTTGACTAGTTCAGTGTCCTTAAATGCAGGTTTCTTGCTGGTAGGGGCCTCGAGGGTAGACTGCATTATATCTAGAGGATTATTTTTGACGGCGTTCTGGTTTTTTTTTTTTTTTTAAACTGCAAATGAACAGCGTTTTTCTGTCAAACATGACTTCTGTTCCCCGGATACTCTGTCTTGGGTCCCTCACAGTCACATAAGGAGCCCTTTTAAAACGTCCAGAACAGGGTGAATTTTCTTCCGTCTGTATACTTGTCCTCCTGTTCTTCCATCAGTCAAAAGGAACTGCTATCTCCTACCCGTGTCGAATTGTGTCTGCTTTCCATATTCATACATTTTCAAGGCAGATCGGTCCAATTTGTGGGGCAAAGTGAGTCATTTTCTCTCATGTCAGAGGCCCATCCCCCCAGACTGCCTTTTACCCCCTTTTCTGGTGTGGAATATCAGAAATTTTGGTTCAGGTAAATGGCAGAGAAGGGCAAGGAGGGGAGTGAAAACTAGCTGAGAAGCCAGATGGCGGGATGGGGACTACACAATGCCTCCGTTTTCTGAGTGGAGTTTAAACAGAGGAGTTCTATGAAGCCCGTCTCATACTTTGTCATGAGGACAAGCAGGAGAGAAAAAGCATCTGTGTGCTTAAACTTCTGTATTGCTGACATGTTTTCAGGGGGCCCACCTTTAGAGTTCACGTAAATCTTGAATGCACATCTCCCCCCCCCTTTTTAGGTCGCTAGGTATGAATAACCCTGTTCAGATGTCAGAAGTATATATCATAGGAGCGCAGCCTCTCTGCAGCCAACTGGCAGGACTTTCCCAAGGACAGAAGAAACTCTGCCACTTGTATCAGGACCACATGCAGTACATCGGAGAGGGCGCCAAGACGGGCATCAAGGAGTGCCAGTATCAGTTCCGACACCGGAGGTGGAACTGCAGCACCGTGGATAACACCTCTGTCTTCGGCAGGGTCATGCAGATCGGTAGGAAATCGTTTCAGATATTGTTAAATACATAGAAACTGTTCTCCTAGGAAACGTCTCTAGTGTTGCTTACAAACTTCATCTGATGGGACTCTTCCAACAGGGTAGCGGCTTGGGACTTCTGTCATTATGGCTGTGTTCGCGCCTGTCCTCTTGAATTAGATCAGGAGGGGGTGGGCATCAATGACACCTTCATTTTTCTGATCACTTAATTTTCCTAAAAAGCATTTTGTGTAACATAGTACCAGAACACTTATTTTGGTTTTAAAAAAGTAGATGGGGAAAGCGGAGTCGTTTCTGTCCTTAAACTTCAAAACTCTTTAGCTATTAGAAGTTTCCTAACCTAAGTCACAATTTAGATGGCCCAGGCATCAAACTGAAAATTGCCATCTTACAGAATGCTGGATGAGCTGGACGTGAGTAAGGTTTTAATTTTCCTAATATAGATATTTCTTAACGCTATCTATCGAGATATATATGTTAGACACTTTACTTTTAGTCTCAGGAAGAATTTTAATTAGAAGTGATCCAATTTACATTTGTGAGTTGGCCATTGATATAAGAACACCTGCTTCAACAGGCAGCCTTACAAGTGTTCGATGTATCATTCACGGTCCAATTCTTTATTTTTAAATGTGTTGTTGAACTTGTTGTTCTATTCAGGGAGAAGGTGGCACCAAAACTGGGCTAAAGGCAAAGAATTTGGAAACTCAGTCTGCCTCTGGTTTGGTTGAATAGTGTAGGCTACAGTCTGACAGATGTGGTCCTGTGTGTGTTTGCTAGTGAATATTTTTGGTCTCTTTACTTTTATGCAAACAAGCCCATATAATTAATATGACTGCAGTGACTCCTAAAATAAGAAGCAATTTATCAAAGCAATTAACTGTTTATACTAACTGAAGATAAAAAGTTGGCTTAATGTCCGTCACGGATGGATAAAATGCTTTTTAAAAAAACCCTGAAAAGTGCATTCATTGAGAACAAAAAAGAGTTGTCAGTGGATGTTTGAGCCAAGCAGCTTCATAAACTAAAATAATACAGGACTGGAAGCTGTTCCTCTAATTGAATGGGAGAACGGTCTGCAGCCTCAGCCTACAGAGCCTCCTAGGGCTTTCCTGTTAATGATTAAAATGTGCTAATGCATATTCTGGGACCTGAATCTAGGAGTTAAGCTTCAGGAACACAGGAGTTTCCCCCAAACATGGGCTGCCTTATGTGGTTAACTCGGGTTGTAGTGAAGATTTAATTCTCGTGCATTTTGATGATATTGTGAGTGATCCAAAAACATCTTTGTCAGCTATGTCACAGGAACCTCTCAGCTTTCTCTAAACCTTTGTCTTATGTGCTCCCTCTATCTGTCTTCCTCTCAGACTTTGGGAGTTTTCCCCATGTGTATGAGTTAGTGAAAATCATACACCTCTGATGCTAACAAGGAAGGAAAACAGCAATTGGAACTGTTTTTCTGTGTAGTCACTGGAATACAGCTTTGATTTAAGATCCTCTTTGTATGTAGCCTGTTTGGGCCCAAAATGTTCAGAATAAGCTATCATTTGCTAAGTGGATTTGAGTTCTGCTGAAGATTTATTTAAAATGTGGTCCAAGATTCAAAGAGCCTGCTTCCTCAGGGAACAAGCAGAACTCTTGGTACAAAGGCCTGTGTTTAATTGTCCCCTGTAAGTAGACTCTCTGGTCTTTAGCTGTGTGGCACTGTCTTAGGTGATGGGAAGTAGGCAGGAATAGAAGCTCATGATGGCCCCAGACGAGGGAGCCCTCCTGGATCCTACCATCCCTGAGGCCCTCCTCACCAGAGGATCCTCAGGTGTCCGAGTTCTCAGAGCAGACAGCTGCTGCTGGGTGGCTCACGGTTGAACACAGGGCCTTAGAGAGAGAGAGAGATGGAGAGAAGAAAAATCAGAATAGATTTTTATGGAAGAGGAACCTGAACCCCACCCCAATGGGGAAAAGTTACTTCATTTTCACTTTTCTACTTAGGGTTTGTTAGATGAGAATGAGCTAAGGGAAATTTTGAAACACCTTTGATGCTAAGTGTGTGGGTGCCCACTCCAGAGCATGGCATTCACCAGGTTCTCGTCCCCGATTGACCCTGTGATGGGGCCAGTGTCTGAGACCCAAGCTGCCACCCCCAGGCGCTCACCTGCTTTCTCGAGAGGCCAGTCCAGGCGCTGTACACAGTTGCCTCTTCATTATGAAAACTTCCTCATTTTTCATCGTGCTAGTCTTTCCTTCCAGCTTTTGTCTCCCGCTTGTCTTTGTTTGCCTGCTGTGAAAAGATGTGTAAGAAAGGCGCCGTTTTCCCAGAGGGTGAGGACAGGAGAGGTTGCTGTCTCTCAGGGGGAGCTGTCACCGGATGCAGGGCTGCTTCCAGGATGACTGAGTCCCCACGCTGCAGCCAAAGAGCCGTCTCATGCTGACGCCTTCCCTGCAGTGACCCACTAGCTTAGAGATCGCTACCAGGTTTGAATTCTGGGGCAAAGAAAATGGGCAAGATAGCACTGTCGTGCTTTGTATAATATCCCTCTGATGCTCTCTGTATGCAGGACAGTGTTTTTTTCTCCTCCTCTGTCTCCAGAGGATGGTTTCTGTCTCCCTCAAGCTACCTCTGTATTCTACGCGTCTCCCGTCCACAGGATTTTCTGTACTATCAGTGTTAATCCTCAGATCACTCCCTAGGATCTGTCTGCTCTCCTCATTTCTCACCACTCCCTTGATGTGCTCGGCCTTGCTAATTCAACTAGATAGATGGAACACCCCCACAGGAACTTTCTGGATCCTCCTGCCAACCACCAGCACACTCCTCAAGTTATTCATTTTTTACAGTGTGGGAGGGAAGGTTTGGTAAATCAGAGCCATCGCCATTTCCCAGAGGGGAACCACAAGTGGTCGCAGATTGAGGGGCAGAAGCCCGAAGGAAGGGCGGTCTGCAGGTTCCCTGAGTTGGCAGAACCACCCTCCTGCAGGATGGCCCCTGAGTACGGTGGTCAGCTGCTGTTGTGATTCCCTGCCCCCACACCCCCCCCAAAAAATTGTTAGCAAGCTCTTTAAGAGAAACTGATCCTGGTACAGGGATCCCAGTGTCAGAAGGGGCCTCTTTCCCCCCGGGGCATCTAGTTCAATACCCTTATTTTATAGTTGAGGAAAATGAGGCCCCCTCATCACCTCCTGCCCCCAGGCCCAGCTTCAGCTGGCTGGGTATTAACCCTTTCTCCCTCTTAGTATAACACTCATTAAGTGACTTCTTGTTCCATGTAGAAATGTCTCTAGGTACAAGTGGAAACTGGAAATTAAGGTAGTCTATGCTCACCTCCATTTTTCTCCATACAAATAGGGCTCCTATAGAACTGTTTGACAGGGAGATATTCTTTACAAGTTTTAGGGAAGGAGAACCTTTTTCTTCTTAAGACTGTATCTCCCCCCCATCCCCCCACCCCCTTTGTTGTTTTCCTGACACTTGGAGTCAGAGGCTGTTGGGAAAGTAAGATACTCACCTTCTTGAGTGAGAAGCATCAGGCTGGTCAGCTTGGGAACTGAGAAGAGGCAAGAATTTCATTTTAACTCTCTAGGAACCGGTTGAGAAATAGCCTCTGGGGAAGTCAGGAGCCTTGTTCTGAGTCAGACTTGATGCTGCAGATGGAGGAAGGCGAAGTCAGGTTACTACCGGCGGGGCCACAGGAGCGCTGCAGAGTCTGGCTTCCCTGGGGGCCTAGGGCTTTCTTCAGAGGCTCTGAGCCTCTGTGCTCTCATCCTGTAGGTCACTCAGAATGAAAACAGTAACAAATGTTAAATAAGTGTCAAGAAGTCTTCCCCAATTGTGTGTTTTCTTCCCTTGGCGACTTCTTTTCAAGGCATTTTGGGTTATTTTCAGAAGAGGTGTATAGAGCAATGGATCTCTGAGCATCCCGCCTTGGGCTCTGAGATGACCAGAGCAGAGGTGGGGTGGGTGGGTGACAATACTCTCCTGGGTTGTTTCTGCGTGTTGGGGAGGAGGGCCTGGGTCCTGGGGCTCTCTAGTTCCCCCTCTAGGAGCGGGGTAGGGGTGTTCGCCGGCGGGGCTGCGGAGGAGGGGGGCGCCCGCTGACCGGCCCTCGCCCGCAGGCAGCCGCGAGACGGCCTTCACGTACGCGGTGAGCGCCGCGGGGGTGGTCAACGCCATGAGCCGCGCCTGCCGCGAGGGCGAGCTGTCCACCTGCGGCTGCAGCCGCGCCGCGCGCCCCAAGGACCTGCCGCGGGACTGGCTGTGGGGCGGCTGCGGCGACAACATCGACTACGGCTACCGCTTCGCCAAGGAGTTCGTGGACGCCCGCGAGCGGGAGCGCATCCACGCCAAGGGCTCCTACGAGAGCGCGCGCATCCTGATGAACCTGCACAACAACGAGGCCGGCCGCCGGGTGAGTGTCCGCCCGCCGCCTGGGAGGGGCCGGGGCTCCGGCTCTCCGGGACTCTCTTCCTGTCTCCGCCTCCCTTCCTAGCTTTTCCGGTCTATTTCCCCCCTGCCTGCTCCTCTCTGTCCCTCCACTCCCCTCAGCCAGCTCCCCACAGGCCTCCCTGGAGAGGGGTGCACACCCCAGAAAGGCCTCCTGGAGCGGAAGCAGGCCGCTGTGGCCCGCTCCAGCCAAGGGGCGCCTGCAGTGGCCTGAGAAAGATCTTTCTCCGCCTCTTTAATTAGTCCCCAGTGCAATTGGCCAGGCCAGAGCTAAACATGCTGCTTAGGTTCGCAGCCCTCCTCCCTGGAACAAGTTTGTGGCTGCGATTAAATCGGGGAGAGGGAGTTATTTATTTCAGGAGGTTCCCAGTTGAGAAAGCCCTCACCCAGCACCCGGGTCACCTCCCCCTTCTCTGTGCCCCTCCTGGTGTCCTGGGACAGCAGGCCTGATGGATTGAGGGTTTGTAAAAAGAGCTTTGCCAGGAAAACTTTCCAACCGTGTGGAATTTCGTAGGTCTGATGATCAGACCCATGGAGGGAAGAGAGAGGGCCTCGGAAGTGTCCAGACAGAAAGTCCTCCAAGGCAGCCTGCCTGCCACCCCATCCCCTGTTTCACTCTTTCCTTCCCCTAGTGGGGCTGTGAAAAGCTCCCTCACAATAGTTAAAAAGACCCTTTTTTCCTGCGGTTAAACACATGGCACTTTATGGCTGCTTTAAAATGAAGGGGTGAAAACTTTTCCTAACTTTGGCAGCACTGAAAACCAGGACCATTATTTTTTTTCAGAGAACCCAAGGTGGGTGCCAGGAACTTTCTGGTCAGAGATCTCACTCTTCTGTATTTTGGGGTGAGGAGCAGGAATGGTAATCACAGAGTAACATCCAGGGGACAGGAAGGAACCTGAGAGCTCTCCCGCCACACACCCTTGTGTGAAAGATGGGAAATTGAGGCTGGAGAACCACTTCCAGGCCAGGGCAGAGAATTAGGGGATGGAGCTGTCAGCCCAGGCACTTTTTTCCTTAAACTAAGGCGTTGCAGCTCGAGGGTGAAGGGCTGCAGGTTTGGGCATTAAAGAAATCTCGGTTAACACCCTGCTCTGTTTCTGAGCCCCTGTTGCCCCGTCTGCTCACCGGTCAGAGGGACATTAGCACTGATGCTTGGGGTTGCCGTGAGGACTTGCTGGGGCCATACAGCAGATGAACCTTGTTATCAACACTTGGCCACTTCTGAGTTCTAATTAATAACGCTCAACCAAAGGGCTGAGTTCAGTGTCAACCAGTGGTAAGTGCTTGATAAATGAGAACTAAGTCACTAGACCTAATGAAGCAAAGCACCTAGGAAAGTGGAAGATAACCCAGATCCCTCCAGGTAACCTGTTTCTTCTCAACTTCGACCTATCTTACCTGTGATGCCTGAGGGGTCAGATGGTTGCTCCGGGGGAGTGTGGCCTCTCCTTTCTGAGGCTCCCCTTTGCTGGGGTGCCTGTACCTGGGGTGGACTTTCTGCCCCCTGCAGCCAGCCCAGGCCTCGGAGTGGGCACGGCCACCCCACTGTCTTGGGAGCCTAGCACCTTGGTCCTGTTCTCTATCCAGGACACATCCCCTTAATCTGCATGCAGGGTGCCCAGCATCTCAGACCACAAATGCCTCCGGGACAGAGGTATGGCTGACTCGGGCCCTGTGTCCCTCTCTTGTGCTTTCAGCCTTCTTTGGGGATTTCCTAGACTTCTCTCATGGAGAGAAATCACAGGAGCTTAGCAACCAAGAAGAGCAGGTCAAGGCACTTCCAAGGGGAGACAGGTGGGGTTGGACAGTGTGAAAAGCACATTTGATATAATTTCATTTAACATGAGCATTTCTACATAGGTTTTTTGGAAATGTTATAGTTGGAGCAGTGAACTCTGCTTGATCCTGGTGGATGAGGTTACAGAGAAGATGGTATTCCTCCAGGATCATAGGGGTGAGAGGAGGAAAGCTGGACACTGGGTCAGGAAACCGTATTAGACTCCTAGAAAGGAAATCTAGCTTCCGATTCTTCTCAAAGGGGAGTAAAGGTTAATTACGTTTGCAAAACCCTTTCCCACACTAGCTGAGGACCTGAAACCCTTCATGTGGAGGGGGTACGCTTGAGTTGCCCTTTGAGGAAAGCCCCTCTGAAGCCCTGGAGGGAGAGGGTCGCTGCTGGGGCAGGAGCTGCCTCTCACGGCTCTGGAGGTTCACTGGCACGGCACGGGGCAGGCGGCCCTATAAATAGGCAGTGCCCGCCTCCCAGAGCTGTGCGTGCTGCGACTGCAGCACCGGGGACTGGCGAGGGCCCAGCACCATGCCCTCATCACCCTGCAGACCAGGTTTGCTGATTGCATCCTGCCCGTAAGTAGCTCAAGCCAGCATCTCTTGGTTTTACCCTTGTAACACTGCCGTGAGGTTGGGACCATCACAGTGCCCTTCGCAGATGGTGAGCAGAGGCCCAGAATGGTGATGCCCCTTGCCTAAATTCAGGGGCAGGGGCAGGACAGAATCTGTGTCTGCCTGGGTCCAGGGTGGAGGCTCTCAGCCTGCGCAGAGGGTAGGGGCCTTGCAGGAAGCAGGAGTGAAGGTACCTGAGATCCAGGCCTGGTCCCCCTCTATCCAGCCTGTGTGACCATCTGGGCCACTCACCTTCTCTGCTCACTGGGCCCTCGTCCAGTCCCGCCCAGGTTACAACCTTGCTGGGAGGATGTGGTGAGATGAGAGTGTGGAGGCTCCTAGGATAGGGCTCGCCCCACGACAGTGCGAACAGTGAGTGAGGAAAGGTTTGAACCCTGGCCACCCGTGGCGTGAGCCCAGAGCCCACCTGCCTGGGTTGCAGCCGTGGCCCTCCTTCCCAGTGGTTGGGCTGGCACACCTCACTGGGCCTCACTTGGCTCCTCTGAGATGCAGGCGACAGAGCCCTTCCCTCAAGGCTGCTGGTGGCAGCAGTCCAGGTGATCTTCTGACGGCAGTCTCCTGCTTCCCTGCACAAAAGAAGCCAAGGCAACAGTCTTGTTTCTTGTTCCCATTCAAAACCAGGTAGTTTATTATGATGATGTGTAACAGTGAGGGGCTAAGAACCGATTTATTTTGCAGACTAATTTTTAAAGAAGGCCACAAAAGGCTCCAGGTCTGGAGGACGAGGGGGAGGTGGCCCAGGCTGAGCTGGTGACCGGGGTCTGGGCTCCCAGGTGAGGGTGCCCCCCGCTGAGTGTCCCCCTGTCCCCGCAGACGGTGTACAGCCTGGCCGACGTGGCCTGCAAGTGCCACGGGGTGTCAGGCTCGTGCAGCCTCAAGACGTGCTGGCTGCAGCTGGCCGACTTCCGCAAGGTGGGCGACGCCCTGAAGGAGAAGTACGACAGCGCGGCGGCCATGCGGCTCAACAGCCGGGGCAAGCTGGTGCAGGTCAACAGCCGCTTCAACTCGCCCACCACCCAGGACCTGGTCTACATCGACCCCAGCCCCGACTACTGCGTGCGCAACGAGAGCACCGGCTCGCTGGGCACGCAGGGCCGCCTGTGCAACAAGACGTCGGAGGGCATGGACGGGTGCGAGCTCATGTGCTGCGGCCGCGGCTACGACCAGTTCAAGACGGTGCAGACCGAGCGCTGCCACTGCAAGTTCCACTGGTGCTGCTACGTCAAGTGCAAGAAGTGCACGGAGATCGTGGACCAGTTCGTCTGCAAGTAGTGGGCGCCCCGCCGCCCGGCCCCACTCCCAGGACCCACTTATTTATAGAAAGTACAGTGATTCTGTTGTTGGGTTTTTTTTTTAATGTGTTTTCCATCCCCAAGAATTGCAACCGGAACCATTTCCACCCCCTGTTCCCATCTGAGGACTCTGTGGTTAATAATATTATAATTATTATTTGGCAATAAGGGGGTTGGGAACCAAGAATATATTTATTTTGTGGATCTTTGAAAAGGTAAGACAAGACTTGTTTTGGTGGTATAATGGATGGGGGGATAAAACATGCCCTTGCTGAGATGTGTGCACATCTGGAGGTCAAGGAAACATTGTTTTCTTTGTCTCAGTGTTCGTATGGGACAGGTAGCATCCCACTGCAAGAGGGTGGCAGAGCTATGCATGACTCAGCACCTGTGACCAAAAGGAGTTCTGTGCTCTGGGGAAGCCAGAAGGTCTTGAGAAACAGATAAAACAATGAGAACCCTACCCCCTCTTTCCCCGGGGCTGCCAGCCTGAAGTATTTCCAAAATGTATTTAAAATTTAAGAATGAGAATCTCATTTCCCTTTAAGAAAGAAGGTTTATCACATGTCTCACTGACCAGCATTCCATCTACAGCTGGTCCATTCTGTTAGCTACTGAAACCTGGGGAGCAGGGAGAGAAGCCCCGGACATTAAAACAACAACTCCTTATATTGAGTCAGTTGACTTAACATTCAAAGCTGTTGTGAGAATCAGGTTATCCACTTGGAAAAGGATCCCTGAATGATTGTGGTACCAGACTTTTTGTTTGGAGAAGGGCAGGGAGGTTGGCTTGGCGATAAAGGAAAATATACTGTAATTTTCTTAGGGATGCTTGGTTAATAAATGATAATAATGAAAATAACACACGAATTCCATTCACAGATCCTCAACCCGAACTACAAGGTAATTGTGTGCAGTGCAGCCCTGCACCAGAGCAGAAAGCCTATTTGAGGGGAAAAAGTGACCTCCACCCTCCCTCCTTGACCCCGAGCCCCCTCCGACGCCGTGCCTTGCTGCGCTGCGGCCTCGTTTCCAAGCGGAGCTCCACCGGGTCCCCTCTGATTGTAGGACAGGAAATGAAACCTTAGGAGCTCCGCTTGGAAAACAGCTTGCTACTTGGGGATTTTATTCCCCCTACAACTTTTATTTCGAGGAACAGTAGTCTTCTATGTTTTCATGACGTCACTTGGCGAATGGACTGCACAGAGGTGTGGCAGCATTTCTGTCTTCTGATCCTGTGTTCAGACTCTCCACTGACGCTTCCTGTTCTTCTGCAGGTGTACCTGGAACTGTTCCCAGTGGACTCGAAGAGTTGGCTTTATAAGGGGGGATTGGTTCCGTGGTTCCTGAAAGCTCAGTCTCTTGTACATAACATATATATATATAGACATATATATATATATAAATATAAAGATGATTATATCTCAGTGCAGCCAGTGATTTAGATTTACAGTTTACTCTGGGGTTATTTCTTCGGTCTAGAGCCTTGTGGTCCTCCACTGCAACCCAGGTGGGATTTTCCCCGACGGTTTCTAAGGAATCTGGAAGGTCTTAGTCGTGGGCATGGTGGTTGGAAGATTTCTTTGGTCTCCCTGCTCCATCCCCTGGTTCTCCAGCCTCGTTTTCTGCACCCTTTCTGGAGAGGGCATTACTTGTTCATTACAGAGGTGGGAATGAAGAGGACACGCTGTCAGCATTTCTCTCTCCTTTGCTCACTCTGCAGGGTGGAACTTGGTGCCTGTTAGACCTGAGGGCACCTATACCGAGTCCCTAGCGAAAATCCAGCTCACAACATCTTTAGCTAGTTTAAAAAAACAAAAACAACAAAAAACCAGGACACCTCTTTTTCAAAGAGTGCATCATCTGTGTTCTCATCTTGTACTGTTTGAGAAGTTTGGGAGAGACACGTTCTCCTGCAGCCTTCACAGGCTCAGTGGCCCTCAGGTCACCCCGGCCACCAGCGGCTCTTATTGCACAAGGATATTCACTCCCCCTGCCCCCAGCTGCAGTGAATTGCAAGCAAAAGATCTTGAAAGTAAAAAGCACTAATTAGTTTAAAATGTCACTTTTTTGGTTTTTATTATACAAAAACCATGAAGTAATTTTTTTTATTTTCTAAACCAGATTTTTTGTTCCTTTCTAGTGATTCATGTTTATGAAGAGAGTTGAGTTTAACAATCCTAGTTTTTAAAAGAAACTATTTAATGTAAAATATTCTACTTGTCATTCAGATATTATGTATATCTTTTATGGCCTTTATTCTGTACTTTTAATGTACATACGTCTGTCTTGTGTGATTTGTATATTTCACTGGTTCAAAAACAAACATTGAAGGCTTATGCCAAATGGAAGATAGAATATAAAATAAAATATTACTTGTATATTGGTAAGTGGTTTCAATTGTCCTTCAGATACTTCATGTGGAGAGTTTTTGAGAAAACATGAGGGATAGTTTAGGGGTGACTACATGTCAGAATAATAGAAGAGTGGAGAATTTTACCAAAACCAAACTATTTGGGAGCTTCAAAAGATTTCTATATGTAACGGAACAAAAGGGGAATTCTCTTTTCCTATATATGTTCCTCAAGAAAATCAAGCAGATGGCTTAAAGCTGGTTATAGGATTGCTCACATTCTTTGAGCATTATGCATGTAACTTAATTGTTTTAGAGCGTGTTGGTATTGTAGCATCTCAGAGAAGAACTGAAAAGGCACATGCTTTTATCCATGAACAGAGTTTTAGTGCAAAAAAAGTATATTTGTGTTCACCACTGCAGCTAGTGCGCCACTCTATTTGAACTTTCTGTGTATGGAGTGTCTCTTTGCCCCTTGGAAAGTAGTTTATTAAAAGCAAGCCTCAATCTGCAGAGAATGAAGGAAACTGAAGGTTCGTTGTCTTAAGTGCAATTAATACGAGCCCTTGTGCTTCTTGAAGGCGCAGTGAGTCTGGGCTGCGATGAACAGACTGATACGTTAGCCCCTTGCTTTTTTCTTTCTGGATAACCTTGTAACATATTGAAACCTTTTAAGGATGCCAAGAATGCATTATTCCACAAAAAAACAGTAGACCAACATATAGAGTGTTTAAAATAGCATTTCTGGGCAAATTCAAACGCTTGTGGTTCTAGGACCCACATCTGTTTCAGTTTTTCCTCAGTTGTATATTGACCAGTGTTCTTTATTGCAAAAACATATATTCGATTTAGGAGTGTCAGCATTTTTTTTTTCTTCATCTCATCCTGGACTGCATTCAAGATCTTCCCAATACAGGAAAATTAACAAAAAATTTATATACAGGCAGCAGCGAACGGAGGTATATGTTCAAAATAGTAATTATGGGCTTAAGTAAAAGGAAGGCTGTTTGAAGCTTTAGTCCAGTATATCTGTTGAGTTCCTTGAGCTGTTGGCCTCCCGAGACCGGCACTGTTTAGTAGGCCATGCAGACCTCTGCTTGTTCTATTTTCTAGTACAGTTTTCCGTTTGTTTTTGTAAGACCTTACTCAAGCCCCAGAATCATCAAGGATGACATGCTAGCACAAGTGTTCCAAATAAGAGACTGTCACGGGCTGGCTCCTAGAGATCATCCGCAAAAGCAACCCCCAAAGAGTGAGTGATCCATAGTGTAGACAGAGACAGCTAGAAAAAGCACTAATAACTTGAAGGATATATATGGTGCAAATACACACCAAGGCATAGGTTTGCAATACTGCATTGTCACTGTAAAATATACTTCTAAAATATTTATTTTTTTAAAAAGTATTTGTTACTCTCCCCTCTCTGTGGATTGGTGAGAGCCAGATGCAGATGCTATACTTTGAAAGTAAGACAATGAAATGCATTCTTAATATTGGAAACAGCAAGGCAGGAATTAAAACTGAGTAAAAGAATCTTCCAATTTACCTATTCACACAGACCTTATATTTAACTCTGATGACTGGATAATATTTTAATGTTAGAGAAACAGCATCTTGTTAGCCAACTTTTAAAAAATGGATGTGGAATGATTAAAGGCCGGTATGATTTTTTCTTAAAAATGTATCAATTTTAATCTAGAAGATTTAATTAACATGCTGTCTCTGTATTTCAGAGGCAAACAAGAAATGAGGAAAATTGCATTGTAGACCAGCTTTACATGCAGTGTACTATTTGCTGGGCTAGAAATGAGATAAAGATTATTTATTTTTGTTCATATCTTGTACTACTTTTCTATTAAAATCATTTTATGAAATCAGTGCAGTCATGTGTTATGTTTGGCAGAGATGGTGTTCATGACGACTGAAGTTTAATGTGGGCCTCGAGCCTGATGATGGCTCAGAGAATCCAGAAAAGATATCCACATTTCAGGCATGTATATCCTATGGTCAGATTTCAAGGATCTATCATGTATCGGAATACTTACCTTTCTTTTTGCCTACAGCTATTTCCCACTCCCCACCATTTCTTATTTGTTCTGCTGCTACTAACATATAAGAGAGTTGTATTTGGAGATCATTAGACAGTGCAGGCATTTAGCACAGTGACATTGGGTTATGAAGACATTCCCGGGCAAGAGAAGAAAGAATGATTTGAGAAGAGAGAACAAAGTCTTAGGGAAACAGACTGAATCACCTGGACTATTCTGCTGGCTCCCTTTTGGATGTTGCCATGGTTGCCAGCCAGCAGCTGAGATCAGGTTTCTCACCTTGGCGTTCTTGGCATCTGAGGCTGGATCATTCTTGATTGTGGGGGTGCAATGTTTAGCAGCATCATTAGCCTCTACCCATGAGGTGCCAGGAGGGCCCCCATTTGTGACAAGCAGTAATGTCTCCTGACACGGAGGCCAGTATACCCCCGGGAGTAGAATCGACCCCTAGCTGAGAAGCACCGCCTGAGATGGAAGGACTGAGGTTCCGAGCATGCAGGGAACGAGGGCCGATGGTGGACGGGTGCTTGCCAGGGGTGACTCCTGAGCCCAAGAAGTCGCCTACAAGCTTCCCCGTTTGGAGGACGGGGTTGAAGCAGCCCGACTCAAAGTGCAGGCTCTGCATCTCCACTGGATGCCGCAACTAACGACGGAGAGCCCATGTGCTGCAAATAAGACCTGGCACAGCCAGACAGACAGATGCTTTAAAAATACACATCGGTTCTGAAGCCGGACACCCTGGGTTCAGATCCTGGTACTGCCATTAGCGCTGTCCGCGTGGGAAGCGGTATAACCTCCCTGAGCGCCCGTGTTTGACGTGAGAGAATACTACACTGGGGGTCTGTGAACAAGAGTTGCCATGTTCGGGGTGTTGAGAGCAGCTTCGAGCCCACAGTGAGGGCCTGCTCTCGGTTAGCTAGCAAGGACGGAAGAAGTCTGGAGAGACTACACCCTGGAGTGGGGCCCCTGTGGGTACAACACCCCCAGCAGCCAGCTCAGTGCCGGGAAGGCCCTCCGAGCGTTTGGGGGAGCTTACACACCGCGGGCCCCTGGCAGTGTGTTGCCACATGTGTTTTCTTTGACCGGTAAAACATCAAAAAAAAAAAAAAATTAGTTGCCAGCACTTGAAAGATCAGTATGTTCACATTCAAGTGCGCATTTCTGGCTACGACACGGGAAGAACTGGCCGCCCGGGTCCACGGCGCCACGAGTCCCCAGCACAGGGGACACTCAGCTGCACCCAAGCAGCCGGTGCCCGCCCCCCAACCCCACCCGTCCAGGCTGTGTGGCCGGTTGGCCAGTCTGTCTGCCACCTGAGCCCGCAGGCTCACGCACTTGCTGTGGTCTTTGCCAGTGTTTTCCTTCTAAGTTTCTCAAGGTCATCCTTAACGACGTTGTGGCCCAAGCAACTGTCGGCAGTTACCATGCGCATCGTGCCCTCGGAGGGGCTCACACACGCCTCTTGCCTCAGAGACCCAGACCAGAGCTGCTCACCCCAGTGGTGCCGCTTTGATGCTGATGCTGCCAACCCCATGCTATAGACTCAGGGCCTTGAGGCTCACAGGCTTGAGCTTCTTCACCCTCTCTGACAAGCGCAGGCCCAGCTTACAGATGAGGACACTGAGACCAGAAGAGTCAAGTCCCTCACTTTACCACTTGTCCATGGTTGAATAACACAGCACACTCATACAAAAATGAGTGGCTTAGAGCCACAGCCATCGTATCCGCTTATGGTCCCGCGAATCACCGACATGGGCCAGGTTAGCTACAGGGGACCAGTGTCCCGCTGCTCTTAGCTGGGGCCAGCAGATGGGCAAGGGGCTGGCTGACCTCCACGGCCTCTCATACACACCAAGAGCTGGCTCTGGCTGTTGGTTGGGCCTTTCCCTCCACTCAGTCTCCTGTCTTTAGGGATAAGGGGCGCCCTGGGCTCTTTCACATTGTGGGACCATATGCCCTGCAGGTGAGATTGGAACTCAAACATCCTTGGATTTTGGTATCTGAGGCAGTTCCTAGAACCAATTCCCGTGGATGTGAAGGCGTGAATGCATATCACATCCGCTGCATTTACTGGCCAAAGCAAGCCCACACACAGCCCAGATTCAAAGAGAGAAACACACAGCACCTCTCAATGAGAAGAGTGGTGAAGTCACAGTGCAAAGATCTGTACCAATTGTCAGAAGCTGCTGAAGACCTTCAGACAGTCTCCCTCACAGGCCAAGAGTCCAAGAGGTCCTCTCTCCTGTGACAGCGCCTGCGATAGGATTCCTTTCTCTCACCTCCAGAAACCAACCTTAAGCATGGTGCAGTGGGTAGGACGAAGACTTTGGAGTCAAGAAAACCTGGTCCCAAGCTCTGCTCTTTAGAGCTGTGTGTCCTTTGGCCAGTTACTTAACTTCTCTGAGCTTCATTCAGTATTCTCATGTGGATCATGAGGCTCTGATGCTATAGGGTGTAGGTGAGGATGGCTACTCCCGGAAGTAAAGGGCGTGGCACCAAATAGGACCTCAGGCAGTGGCATGAACGGCGGTCACGGCGGCAGCAATCACCCCCCGGCATGGCAAGAAACCAGCCACATTCCTATCACCCTGCTTTTGATGACTCATGAGCCTCCCTGATTCAGCAAATTGCAGGGTGCTCCCTTGGAGGCACTGGGAGGGGGCTCCTGAAGCTTCTTGATCAGGCTCAGGCTGGGGAAGCAGAGGGTGGGGAGTCAGGATGGGCTCGGCCTCAGCTCAGGCGTGCCAAGTCCTCCCCCATCCCTGGGAAACTCCAAGGAATGTTTTCCCATGTCTTGGGAGAGACCTGTGCCACAAGATCCTGGGGCGCAGGACAGCAGCCTGGGCTCCTGACCCCAGGTACACCCTGCAGCGTGCCCCACCTGGCTGGCGGCAGGTGGCCAACTGGCCCTCGTGGGAAGCCGTTGGGCCAGCTGCACTTCCTTTGGGCCTCAGGTTCTGTTTATAAAGTGTGAACAGTAAGACCTGTGCAACTCACAGCACTGAATTGTTAGCGATTCCTCCCTTTTCCTGAACACGTGCCCTGGGTGGCTTATTTTTTTAAGCTATTTTCTTTAAGCTTATTTTCTTTACATGACTGTTTGAGTTCATGGCATCTGACAAAAAAAGAAGGGTCGCTCTTTCCATTTTACAGAAGAAAGAGAAGCCCCAGGAAATTAAGTGTCTTTCCCAAAACTACAGAGCTGGTCAGAAGCAAAGCTGGGTCTCGCTGATTACAGAGCCCTTGCTTGCATCCACAAGATAATAGCGCCTCAGGGTTACTGGGAAGAGACAAATGGCAGGCTAGAAACACTAGGAACCCAACATTTCATTCCTGACCCAGGCACTCGTCCTAGTTTCCAAGCTGAGACCACCTCAGAGGCCTTCATCCGAGTCCACACGCTTGTGCAAGGAGGCCCCGGTGTGGGTCAGACAAGGTTCCCCTCCACACATGAACCGGACCAGGGAGACCCCAACGCTGGCTTTACCGCCAGCCGACGAGACCTCCACCGTCTGGACGGTGGCCCCACCCTGGCCACCACCTTGCTGTGTGGCTTTGGGCGAATCCCCCACCTTCTCTGGGCCTGACTTCCTGACATGCGCACAAGAGTTTGGTCAGGATCACATGAATGAGTTTGATTTTCTGTTCCCTAGTTTCGCCTCCCAGGAATTTGAAGGCACGTGGAGATGGAGAACAGGCCTCAAGCCCCACTATGCGGAAAGAAAATGCAACTGGAAACGGGCGACGCAGGGAAAGCATGACAGTGGCACGGGTCCTCCTCCGGGGCACACGCCCTCACACCCACAGGCCTCTGGCGGGCATAAGGTGGCGGCGCAGGACAACTCTGAGCGTCGAAATCAGAAAGGCCTGCACAGTCTTGGGCAAGAGCCTCGACCTTTCTGAGCTCCCATTACCTGGCCTGTGAAAGGGGCAAACCCTGTGCAGGGTGCCGGTCTGGGGAACCCAGGAAAGGGTTCGCCTAGCGGTAGGCCAGCGGTGACCACTCATTAAACAGAAGCTCCTATCTTACTATCCTAACCTGCAAGCCCTCCTGTCTGCAGGGATCCCTCCCGCCCTGGAGAGAGAAGCCTGGGGCAATTTCTTAGTGGCAGATGACTCCTGAGTTATTCCAACACACTCGCTCCTCCACACGCAGCTGGGCAGCAGGCCTTCCGCAAGGTGCGGGAAAGAGGACACCCTCTTGTGCCTCCAGCTGCTCCACGTGACCCCAGGTCGTCCAGGCCGAACCTTCCGGAGGCTGCACGGCGATTGCCTGGAGCCTCCACATGCCGGCAGGAAAACCACACTGGGAGCACGTTCTCAACGAGCAGTGTAAACCACTTGAATTCGGGTCTCACAAACCAAGAAACCAGTTCTAAGTGTTTTCACCTCTCCCACTGCTTCCTTCTAAATTTCATTAGGGCTGACAATTTGTATATCCACTTACAGTGTAATGTGATTTAAATGGCTGACCGTAACTGTTAGCGATGGAGTTTTCCCGGGGTGCGGGGAGCCGAGAGGCAGTAGGGACCTTTTTCCAGTGCGGCCAGGCCCTTCTGCACCCGGGCGGTCGTTTTATAAGCCTGGATGTGGCTCGTCAGATGCGGTGTCCGTCCTCGGAGATGGGAGGGCCTGCCTCTTGGCCCCCTTCCCTCTTCACCCCACAGTCACTTTTGTTCTTGGAGGCCAAGCTGTCTTGGAGTTTTCGGCATGCAATAAAACACACCCGACCGCAGGCCCCGCGTCGAGCCAGGACGGCTGGGGGAGAAGCCAAGCCCCTTGGCCGGCCGGCTACATGGTTAGGCGGAATTGATAGTGTGTGTCCT